GTGTCCTTTTGGGGGAAAATGTATATCCTTAACTTTTCACATATTGTCAGTTTTCACAGAAGTAGTTTATCATCCACAATTATCAACGGCTCCATTAAATTTTTGTACTTTTTTTTATGTGTTTTGTGACCTATAAAATGGCTCCACTGACCACATATTTTGTCAGATATATTACAGTGTAAGCCTAAACAAGGCCAGTGGTCTTCTTGTGTGTATGTGTGTAGGTTGTAGGCAGGGACATACACTAACCTTGTACAGCCTTACCACAGAGAGTTGGAGGCCATTCTGTCACCTCCTCACCCCCCCCTCCAGCCCAGCCTAGCGTAGGGGTCAACTTGCACTGGTGGTAACAATGATGGAGGAGGGGCAGCAGGCCATTGTCAGGATCTGTCAACCATGTACGAACAGCCCCCCACCAGAAATCCATGTGACCTGGCCTCTGTGTAACTAGGTCTGCCTGGCTTCATTGTGTTTTTGTCTTTGGACATTTTTAATCTTTTTCATTGTGTAGATAAAACTGTGCATCAGCCTTAAAGCATCTACTCACCATGGTTTATTTAGATGCATAATCCTGTTTAAAATGTGCCCTTAAATTTGCCCAGCTCCAGTGCTACTGTTGCTACTGTCCAACTCAATTGCCAGAAAAAAATGTTGGCATTGTACATTTCTGCACACCATGGACATGTTACATTGGCAAGTTACAATGAAACTTATGTGTCAACAGTGTTGTTGTTAACATGGTTGGGTTTAGGCACAAAAACAACAGTTTTGGCATAAAATACCAGGTAAGGGGGGCACAATCCCTGCTGGAAATGCAGCATTCTGTCTGTAAAAAAACAAACACTTAATGTGTCACTATACTGGCAGGAAACACAGCAATATCTCTGCAAAATTCAACCGCTTTTTGTGGCATTATGCCTGCTTGAAAAACATTGATGGGTAGCTACAAAAACTCATGTTTAGTACCTAAAAAGCAGCTGGAAATTCAATGATAGCCCGCTACAAAACACCTATATTTGGTGCCTAAAAAGCCACAGGAAAATCACTGACAGTTTGCTGCAAAACACACATCTTTGGTGCCCAAAAAGCAGCTAGAAAAACAGTGACATTCGCTACAAAGCACCTGCATTTGGTGCCTAGAAAGCTGCTGGAAACACAACAGTGACTTGCTTAATCACAACCTGTTTTGTTGTTTGTATGTCAACCACTTTTTATTCTACTATACCAGCAGGAAAGGCAGCTTTGTCTTGTTAAAAAACAACTGATTTTCCTGGCCTTTCCCCTGCAGGAAAAACAGGGGTGGGTTGCGAGAAGACATCCATGCTTGGTGCATAAAAAGTCAAATAGAAATGATGTGGATGCAGCTTAGTAGGCATCTCACCTAAGTGACACACCATGCACCATCCCCTCCACCTCCTGGTGACAAAGTCAGCTCATACACTACATCACTTTAGAAGCATTGATATAATATGTATGAAATGTACAAATGTAATGTATCCACTGTTTGCAGAAATGTACAATGGCAACATTTATCTCAGGCGACAGGGCTGCGCTGTCACATTCCACATTGACTGTGATACTGGCTAGAGTTGCTACATGTAAAGACAGAGCAGCATTCAGGCTACAACCAAAAAGTAACAAAAGGACCACTGCTCTCAGGTCACCTTGTTGCTAATAGTGATAATATTGTATTGTGGTTTTCTCCGATTGCATTCGGCTCATAGATTATACTGTTAAGACTGTATTTTGCACGGGCCTTTAATGGTTGGTAGCTATTATGACACAAGGCATAGAAATGCTTCAGTGAGCCTGTTCTGGCAACAAGAAACGTGAGCATTTTCAGTCGGAGAGAAATGACCTGGCCTTCCTGTGTGAATATAATTTTCTGGGATCGAGCGTCGTCGCTCAGTTCTCAGACAGGCCGTGCTATCCTCGGCAGGTGCACCAAAGTGGCTGTGTCAGCAAGAGCCTGGAGAAAACAATTGGAGCAGTGGGATCTGCTCCCTGAGTCTGCTGTGTCAGGCAAGGCTGCTGCTGGGACTCCTCTCCCCTCTCCAGCGGCTGACACACTGGCTGTCACTCATCTCCTCACGGCATTAGGCCGTTGCCATGGTGTTGTTTAGCCGTGCTGACAGGTGGGCTCTGACGCCATTTCTCCTCCTCCCACCTCCAGGCCACACGTTAAATGCTGCTTTCTCCACTCTGCACCAAAAATAATATGCAAGGGGGGGCTGTCATTATCTCTTGGTTTGTTGATATGCCTGAATGTGCTCTCAACACAAATATGCACATTACTGATATCAGTTAGGGATTTGGGGACTTGTGTAACTGTATCCACCTTATTAATTTAGGGTGGCAGTAGATAAAGTGAATGTTCTGTGTGACCGGAGATAAAAATGTTTTTTTGTTGCTACCACAATTATCACCACGATGACATCTGTGTGTTGAGATGTTTTGTGTCTGAGCTCTGTGTTTCACATGTATGGGAAAATCCCACTGAAATGTTGCTGACGACTCAGAAGAGGGGTTGCTAGGTAACCTGACGTCACAGGACTGCACTAGTGTATAGGGGGGTAAAGCGGGAGGCTAGCTCATTAGCTACATTGAGTAAAGGCCTCTTACTTGCTGGCCATGCTAGTCCACATCTCCAGAAACAGTACATTCAGACACTTGATGAGACATCTGAATAATCTGTGAGGCTCTGTAATACACAATATAGGTTTGTAACAGATTGGATATAAAATATAGCACAGCTTCACATTGTTTAGCCTCCCATCTACTTGGTATACATGCTTGTCTACTTGTATGTTTGCATGTGTCTTCATGCTTATTTGTGTTTCCAGCCGCAAATGTGTATAAACAAGAATGCTGAAGGGGGGAGCAAGCTGCCAAGTTCTTATTGACTGTGCTCAAAGGTCAAATGCATGCAACTAGAAGGAGGTTCAAGAAAAGATATTTGGAATGTTACACCACTTCATTGTTTAACTTTTTATAAGCAAGTGTTGTTTTTAGTACCTTGTGAGGAGAGATTGTGTAGGCATTGGCATGTTTTGACAAGGCATTGACATGTTTTGACTAATTTTGATCTTCAAACACGTAATTTCCCTCGTGGTTTTATGCACCAGTTTATGTTGCAATTGTCTTTAAAAACTTCAAAATAAAAGTCTTCTGCTACCTTAATGTTTTTGTTGGCGGTGACAAATGTCCTAGTACTAAATATTGAGGGGGACATGTCCCCTGCCTTCCTCCACCCTGATCTCTACGCCTGTGATGTTATGCTCCTTGCTTATAAGCTTTGAAAATGTCACTTTTTATTGGTTTACATTCAATAATGCATGCTGTTTAATTATTTTATAGTGCTCTCAGTGCAGCTGATAATAGATGAGTAATTGCAGAGCTGAAAAGCTGCAGTGGAGTCGACACGGAGAGCATTTACATCCTTTCCATCCTCTTTCATCTCCCTGGCCCTCACTGGAGATGCTTTTGTTAGCTGCCACGAAGCAGCCTTTTTACATCCCAAGGCCACACTTTCTGAGAGCGGCGTGGCTGTGTGAGTTTCTGTCTGCTCGGTGAGTAGATGTGTCACGGAGAAAGCTGAATGAGCAGAGAAAGACGTGCGCTCCCCATTGTTGCTCAAGCACTCGAGAGGTGCGTGGCAGGGTCGAGAGCTAGCTGGTGTCGCCCGGCTCATCTGAAGGTGCTGCCTGCTGTAATGGACTCTTACAGATAGACGGCGAGATAAGGAGACACACTATACGGCCGTGCCAGGCTGCACAACGCGGGCCGCTGCAAACCAATACCGTGGTGTTCATTGTGATACTTACTCACAGGACCACTGCACTTGACATTGGCTTGGGGTAAAGTCTCGCAGCTTTATTGTGTTGCTGAATATGAGTGTTTTTGAGATGATGACAGGTCTGGCTTTCGAGCACAGCAGGGTTTGGGATGTTCTGGTAACTGATGCATCATGAGACGCTACAGCAAAGGCCTTCACCAGGGCTTTAGTCATTAATGTGCTGATTAGCAGATGCAAGGCTCAATAGAAAGATTGTGTGTAGGGGGGGTTATGCATCAGTAAGCCACTATCCTGAGTGATCTTGGCAGGCATGCATCTTCCTCTCTCTTCTCCTCTTCATTCACTCCCCTGCTTCATCAGCAGCGCCACCAGAGTGTGGAGCCACTGGGGACGCTCTCTGGTGAGAAGGAAGATTTCCTTGTAGCTTTGTCCTCAACCGGCTCATGAATTGTGTCCTCTTTTGCTGCATTTTATGTCATACATAAATACATATATGGCTGATTGTGACTAAAGGTGCAGTACTGTACCATGTTTTGTAAGAGCTGCAGATGAAAAGAGAGCACAGTACCTCTGAAACTAACAGGAGAATTGACTGGTCATATGGCACTTTCTTCCGTCGTTATGTCACTGAGCAGCTTCCTTGTTCCAAATACACTTGTTTGCTGTGCCAGCACCACAGATGCTCTCATTAGATGACCAGCTCATTGTTCCTCTGTATGATAATAGCTGTTTATATCTAATTAACTGCCTTGTGCACTGGGGGCACGGGGAAATCGGGTTAAACAAACACTGGAATCGTTACTGCAGGTACATTGAGTTCAGAATGGAAAAACAGTGTGAGTATGGAGTAATTTATGCATCAGGTTAACCTTAATTGTATTGAAGAGACATCTGTTGATTGCAGAGGTGATGAATGTACAGTAAGATGGATTTGGCCTTATCTAAGGTCACTTTTGTAGAAGCAACAGTAGTCAGTAGTGACTGTGTTACTGCTCCAAAGAGCTATTTGTTATGTGTGGTGTTGCAGACACAATAAATGGCACATACCGCATAATTTCTGTGTCATCTCAACAAAAAATTCCACTGCCAACACAGAGGTGTGACAGTGAAGGCCTGCTCCTTTAGCTGTAGCCAAGCACGCTGTGAGTCTCCCCCTCTAACCTGCCCCTCCCATCTGTGCTGTGTTCTCTATTGCTCCCTGCAGGTGAAGTTGATGAAATACATCTGTAAACAGCTGCAGTGCAAGCAGAAAGTGCCAGAGACAGAGAGGCCCGAGGCCCTGGACAGCTACCCGCACTTACGAGACTGGCTACGCACCATCAACCTGCGACCAGAGCTCATCGAGGTAGGTTACGTTGTTCTGCGTGAACATCAGTGTCCCTCTCTCTCTGTCTTCTCTGGCCTGGGTGACTGATTGTGTCACATTTATGTGGATTCAGTGTGTGTACTCAGACTCCGCTCACATGTGGATGAGGAATACTTGACCAGTGACCAGCCAAATGTCTTTCTAAAAGAGAAGTGCTGTCATTTTTATGATCATGATATTGAAGCTGCAAACACTGAACTTGAACTGATTAATACTGAGAAAAAACTTTTTTTTGTAGGTTTTTTTTTTCAAAGCAACATGTTTAATGAGACCAATATGGCGAAGACAGCGACTGCTCGCTGTCACTCAGACAGGATGAACTTGTCCTGTTGACAAACTGATCTTGGTTGCATAACAAAAATCTAGCTTACTGCCATTAGTTTCGACATACAGTACAGGCCAAAAGTTTGGACACACCTTCTCATTCAATGCGTTTTCTTTATTTTCATGACTGTTTACATTGTAGATTCTCACTGAAGGCATCAAAACTATGAATGAACACATGTGGAGTTATGTACTTAACAAAAAAAGGTGAAATAACTGAAAACATGTTTTATATTCTAGTTTCTTCAAAATAGCCACCCTTTGCTCTGATTACTGCTTTGCACACTCTTGGCATTCTCTCCATGAGCTTCAAGAGGTAGTCACCTGAAATGGTTTTCCAACAGTCTTGAAGGAGTTCCCATAGGTGTTTAGCACTTGTTGGCCCCTTTGCCTTCACTCTGCGGTCCAGCTCACCCCAAACCATCTCGATTGGGTTCAGGTCCGGTGACTGTGGAGGCCAGGTCATCTGCCGCAGCACTCCATCACTCTCCTTCTTGGTCAAATAGCCCTTACACAGCCTGGAGGTGTGTTTGGGGTCATTGTCCTGTTGAAAAATAAATGATGGTCCAACTAAACGCAAACCGGATGGGATGGCATGTCGCTGCAGGATGCTGTGGTAGCCATGCTGGTTCAGTGTGCCTTCAATTTTGAATAAATCCCCAACAGTGTCACCAGCAAAACACCCCCACACCATCACACCTCCTCCTCCATGCTTCACAGTGGGAACCAGGCATGTGGAATCCATCCGTTCACCTTTTCTGCGTCTCACAAAGACACAGCGGTTGGAACCAAAGATCTCAAATTTGGACTCATCAGACCAAAGCACAGATTTCCACTGGTCTAATGTCCATTCCTTGTGTTTCTTGGCCCAAACAAATCTCTTCTGCTTGTTGCCTCTCCTTAGCAGTGGTTTCCTAGCAGCTATTTGACCATGAAGGCCTGATTTGCGCAGTCTCCTCTTAACAGTTGTTCTAGAGATGGGTCTGCTGCTAGAACTCTGTGTGGCATTCATCTGGTCTCTGATCTGAGCTGCTGTTAACTTGCGATTTCTGAGGCTGGTGACTCGGATGAACTTATCCTCAGAAGCAGAGGTGACTCTTGGTCTTCCTTTCCTGGGTCGGTCCTCATATGTGCCAGTTTCGTTGTAGCGCTTGATGGTTTTTGCGACTCCACTTGGGGACACATTTAAAGTTTTTGCAATTTTCCGGACTGACTGACCTTCATTTCTTAAAGTAATGATGGCCACTCGTTTTTCTTTAGTTAGCTGATTGGTTCTTGCCATAATATGAATTTTAACAGTTGTCCAATAGGGCTGTCGGCTGTGTATTAACCTGACTTCTGGACAACACAACTGATGGTCCCAACCCCATTGATAAAGCAAGAAATTCCACTAATTAACCCTGATAAGGCACACCTGTGAAGTGGAAACCATTTCAGGTGACTACCTCTTGAAGCTCATGGAGAGAATGCCAAGAGTGTGCAAAGCAGTAATCAGAGCAAAGGGTGGCTATTTTGAAGAAACTAGAATATAAAACATGTTTTCAGTTATTTCACCTTTTTTTGTTAAGTACATAACTCCACATGTGTTCATTCATAGTTTTGATGCCTTCAGTGAGAATCTACAATGTAAATAGTCATGAAAATAAAGAAAACGCATTGAATGAGAAGGTGTGTCCAAACTTTTGACCTGTACTGTACATATATTTGTTAAAGTCTCACATTTCTTCAGGAAAATATTTATTGAAATTTGCATATTTGCAAATATGTAAGGTATGTTTGATTTTTATTTTTCATTTTGCATCCAACCTTAGCTGCAGTTTCCAAATGTACTGGTAGGTCTATTAAAACTGCTTGTGTTATAATGGCTCTCCTGTATTTTCTACATAAGGATGAAAATCTTTTCCACAGATGACAGAAGCACAGCTGTTAAGTAATTTGAAGCAGATCAGCAAATAATAAAACATCATCTGGTGTCAATTGTTGTATTAGGCTAGAAAGTGACAGCTCAGTTTCGAGTCTATGAAAATGATGTGATGAATGAAACCAATAGCAGCATCATATGTATCCTTTATTTAAGGAATATTATGAGAGTGAAGGCCATATTGATTTTGGTTTCTGCACATGTATGTAGAAAGATAAGAGGGAACCAGGCCAAGAATAGATTTATATATAAAAACCAACCAATGCGAGAGCCTGCGGACATCAAAGTGTACCATGGTGGCAGTGTTGCCCTTTGATGGCCTTGTCAGAGCTGACCTTCAGATTGAGGCCTATGGTCCACATAGACTCGGGTATTTTTAAAAGCAGGGTTTCCCCTCCTTTGCTTAAAAGGAAAAAAAAATCCTGTCCACACAAGCATTGTTAAAAAACATCCAAATAAAAACGCATAACACAATTGAAGTACCGTCAAGAGCATACCAAACCAACAGGTAGTGATATAATCGTAACCCTAAAGCCAAGCAAAAAAGAAGATGAAAATGCTGGCCAATTAGAAGCCTGAAAAAGACTATTACCAGAAGGCTACCTTGAACAGTGACCTCCATAGCACATTCTGAGAACTCAGTTGCTCTCTATAGTGGAAGAGTAATTATACATTTATGTGTGAACATGTAAAAAACCCCGTTAGATTAGATTAGAGCCAGCACTATTATAGTCATGTCCGCCATTGCACGAAATGTTGCCTCATTTGTGACACCTCAAAAAGGAGATAACATTGCAAACTTTGACGTCACAAGCCAAAAACTCTTTTTTTTTTAACCCACACATCAACAATGAGAACAGAGTTTCTGAAAATCTTTAACCTAGATTGAGTTTTACAAACAATCCTTTTTAATTGACCTAAAACTTAGTTTGGTGTGGACAAAAGGCCAATATACATGTGTTCATGTGGACAAGGCTTGAGAGCCTGAGTTCAGTAATATCTTTCACATGTGTTTGTCTCTGAGCAGGACCCAGACTGCCCACCACCTCTTCTGACCTCTGTCCTCTTCATGGAGGAATGAGGGCCCTAACAGAGACACTTTTACATCATCTATACATCTGATTTATAATTATAAACATACTAGAAATCAAAACTTTTTCACTATTTGCTGCTTACCTAGAGGTTACTTTTGGTCATGTAAAACTACTCCCATCGCTGTGCGCAGTTCTCTTATTACTATGGTTTTTATTTATCTTGTTGTGACTTATGAGATCACAGCTAGTTTGAGATCCCCTATTAAAGATATTAACTGCATTGCATTATGCTCAGGCCTTTGCATAAGGAAGCTACAGTGTTAGCAGTTAAGGCGCTGTTAACTGTTCAGTGACGATGTCTTCTGGATCAGCACCTCTCCTTACACCAGCACCCGGCAGCTAGCTGCTTCTGCACACCTGACACAAATGCATCAAATGCATACTTTCCTGATCTCACAAGTGTTGTGCAATTCTCATTCCACCACGATTTGTTTGATTTTCTTGCAATTTCCTCTCCTTCCACCAGCTGCCCTTCCTGCACGGCTGTGAACTCCTTTAATCCCTCTCATCTACTGTATGTTTGCATTGTTCTTGTCTGTTTGTCTTTGTTTTATGACCTAACTGTAACCTGCTTATTTTTAACGTTTCCACACTTGTTATTCTTTAATATCTCCCAAGCTTGTGCGTGCTTTTTGTTTTGTTTTATTGCCGTGTTCCATATCTGATTATTTGTCTTCTGTTGAAGGTTTAGTCATATCTGTCATGTTCAGTGCTCTGTTTGCTTTCCAGTTTAGACGTCACCACCTTCCCTTTCAAAGAACTTGAGTTTTGTGATAGCATAGTGAAATCGCTCATCTGTATGTGTTGTATACAAACTGGGATTTCCCAAAAGATGTAGAGCCGTCATGGCGTGTTGATGACCTATTTAGATCAAACATTATTAGATTGAGATTTCTACAGTGCATCTCCTCACTCTATACTATGAGGGCCGGATTATGTAATAGTTGATCCAAAAAAAAACTAACAATGATTGTATGTAGTGTTTTTTTTCTACCTGGAATCCAACCTCTCTGCCTCCATGCTGCAACTGAAAGTGAGGTATTACATAATCTTACACAAGCATGTGGATGCCATGTTGGCAAGCTTCTTACATGCCTCCTTCCTTCTGTGAACTAATCAATGTTGTCTGTGGCTTTGCTAAGCAGCCTTGCTGTATCTTGATTAACTCACTACAAAAACATTGCCAAAGCATTTTGAGTATTGCCATGAATCATCCTTAAAGGGGACCTATTATACGTTACTTATTTTTCTGTAATGTTATATGTTAAATGTTCATATTTAACCTGACCAAGGTATCAGATAATGAGGTAAGTGTATGTAAAAGTAATGCCTTTGACCAAAAACCTCAGACTTCAGGCTTCAGACTGTTCTGAATGCTCTGTTTCCAACAGCTTTTTTTTAAATCTACTTTTGAGACAAGCTCGACATCAGCTCATGATAGCTTTCTTTATATGGTCATCTGCTCCAGGAATGCTACCGCAAGGGTAATGAGAAGCCTACACTGCTACATGCAGCTTCATGCTTACGCCAGAAAAAAACACATTTAGTCTTGGTTGCTGATGTTGTTAATTTCTCCCTGATTTCGGATCAAATTCCTGCTGTAATGTATCCCCTTGTGAGGATTTTGGCTTTGAAGCTTTAATTGGTGATTTTTAACAGTAGAAAGTGCAGCGATACTCCATTACAGTCAATACCCTGGTCACAAGTACATGCTACATTTAGCTACATGCTAACATCTGGGAAACTTGTAATCTTGGTTGACTATGTTGTAGGGCTGGACGATTAATCGAAATCATGATTTCGATTTTGGCTTCTCACAATCATAAAAACATTATAGTCGAAGAAAAACGATTAATGCGCCACACGCATTAGAGATGGTGTTGCGTTCAAGGTCCCCCCCCCCCCCAAAAAAAAACGGGAGGGAAAAAAGGCTGAATATTCGATTTTTTTTCACAATCAAATCCCGTGCTATCGAACTTGGGTCAGCCCTAGTATTTATTTATTGTGTTTATTGCTCTTATTATTTTAATTTACTATTATTATTATTATTTTTTTTACTTGTTTACTTGTTACTAATTTATTTCTGGCTGTTCTTTTAAGTTATAATTAAAGTTGAGTTTTGGTGGAGTTTTGAAATCAATGAATAATCGTGTTTATTAATCGTGATTTCAATATCAATCAAAATAATCGTGATTATTATTTTTGCCATAATCGTCCAGCCCTACTATGTTGTTAATTTATACCTGATGTCAGATCATATTACTTCTGGAACATGTCCAGTTATGAAGATTTTGGTTTAAGAGCTTTTATTGTTGATTTTTCATGGTAGAAAGTGCTCGGCTGCAAGTACACTGTTACACGTAGCTATATGCTAACGTCTGGGAAACATGTAATCTTGGTTGCAGAAGTTGCTAATTTCTCCCCGATTTTGGATCATATTCCAATGAACGAGATTTTGGTTTTGAAGCTTTAATATGTGATTTTTCACGGTAGAACATGCCTTTATATTCCATTACGGTCATTCCTCCAGCTGCAATTTGGTTGTAGAAACACTGCGAGCACAAATACAAAGCAAACTGGGCTTTTTTGGGAGGGGGGCTTACAGGCGCTAAAATGGGGCGTTTCAGACACAGGGTGAATACAGGTGTTGCGGCAAATACCGTAAAATTTAAATTTCTCATTTCTCTGTTTGTATGACACCCTTCTGAGGTACTTTCATTTTTAGTTCTATGCACATGTCTTTGCACACTACACATTAGTGTTATATTCTGGGACTTCTAAAATGCCAGCCAGTAAGCAGCCCATTTAACCACCAGTGTAACCATTTAACCCAGTTAACCCACTTGACTTAATGTGTAGACTTCATGACCATGTGATGTTAATTGCTGTGCACACATAAATGGCAAATCTGACCAATAACATTGTATCAAGGAGGCCGCAGTACAGCAATCATGTATGCAAGCTGTGCTGTTCATGGTGCTAAAATTGTAATGTTATTATGAGTGAGTAGGTGGGAGGGGAGCGGAGGGCCCACAGCCACTTTTGAATATCACATCACTCACCCGTGTGTGTGTGTGTGTGTGTGTGTCTGTGTGTCTGTGTGTCTGTGTGTCTGTGTGTGTGTGCGCTTCCTTTTTGCTTACAGTGTACACAGGAGTGTGGGAGGTTGCCCTAGTTTTCTGATCAGTGTTTGCCCTCTCAGTGCAAGGGTTTAACCTGACTGATAAGTGATTGCGTACTTCCCATGTCAGAAAAACATCCTAAACTTACTGGACTATCTCCCATTTCCTTCTGTGAGCTAGAAACAGTTTGTGCTGTCATTTTGCCCACTGTCTCAGTAACTGAACGTTCAACGAACAGTAAATACCTCAGGCTTGCAGGTCTTTATCCAGTCAGCTTCATTTTCTGTCTTTAACCACCTGCTCCTCAGTTATTCTTTTTCATTCTGATTGTGGTGTACACTGTATTACCAGTGTAAATGAGAGGAAACAGAGATAAGAATAAATGGAACTAGCTTGAATGAAGAAAAAGAAAAAAATTAAGAATCCAAAAATGGAGAAAAATCTTAATGGACTGAAGTAAAAGGGGTCTTTACCACCAGCAAACAGCCCTGTCTTAGCGGGAACTGAAAGCCAGACTCCATTGAGGAAAAACAGTGATTTTACCTCTCTGAATACAGGAGCTGCTGGTCTGCTACTGCCTCGATCAGTTACTTTGTTTGAGTTACTGTGTGACTTTGGTGTTTTAAAGGGTTAGTTCGGATCCAGCAAGGTCACACAAAAACACAAACTATCAACTGAGGCAGTGGTCGACCAGTAGCTCCTGTGTTCAGGGAGGTAAAATTACTGTTTTTCTCAATGGAGTCTGGCTTTGAAGAGAGCATTGTTAAATGTCACTTTTAGTGCACTTCCCCATCGGAAAGGGATGTCCATATGGGAAGTATTGAGTATACAAGTGGATAAATGAGACTTGGATTATACTGCACGAGTTGTGTGGCAGTTTGCGAACAGATGTTATACACTAGTTTTACTGTTGTTAAACGCAGATCCCTTTTACCGCTCATCAAGGATTTTTTTTTCCGTTTTTGGATTCACATGCAAGAAAAACAAATTTTTCTTCACAAATTCAACATAACATGGGATGTGTAATTGTTATAAAAATGATCATCTGAGGGTCAAAGTATTCCTTTAAGAATTGATATATTAGCAGCATATAAGCAAAGGCCCTTGTCTGATGTTCAAACCACTATTTAACTAAATGGCAATTTGCCGCCAAGGTATCTGTAACTAACAAGGACCAAGACATGTTTTATTAATCTTATCTCATAGTTAATTTTGAGCACTGTTTTACTGTCTGCTAATTTAGAAAACCTCATCCATTACATTGCATTTTGCTGTCTCTTTATTGTTTGATAAAAGAGTTGATTCACATTATAATGTCTAATATGACAAGTTGTCAGTTTGTCGCAAGGTGTCACATTATTGTGGACCTGTACCTTCTAAGTTTAGAGGGAAATGTGATTGCAAATCAAACCAGGTTGCAGTGTATTAACCATGTATCTGTGTCTTATCCGAGTGTTATTTTTCTTCATTTCTAGCCTGCCAGTGCTACACAGTCTGCCTCCCACTCTGACTTTTTTGCTTTACTAATGCAATCCTCCACTTGCATAATGTTATGTTGTGTGATGTCTGTTGTCTTCCTGTTAGTTGCTGTCAAAGTTTCCTTGGGTTCTGTACAATCATCACTCTATCTAAGACTGTGCTTTACTTCATCCATTGCATAGATGTGTTGTTTAGGAAATCCTGAGTGTCTCTGAATGAACACAACTGACTCTCAAACAGTAGAATAAAAGGATTTGCATAGACACTGATTAAATATTAGTTCAGGCTCTGCCTTGACCCAAACTTGTCTGAGTCTAACATTCAAAACCAAGCACAAACAAGGTGGCCTTGACCACTGCAGATTTTGTGCACAAATCCTGTCTAAAGTTTTTACCACTATCTACAAATACAGGCATGAAACCACGTCTGTGGTACTGAATAATCTGCACATCCAGATAAGTGGAAGACGCAGTATGATAAATGTCCCAAACATACAGGATTACCACCAATTTCCAGGAACAGTGCAAGTCAGTGGTTGTATGACCTATTTAATACTGTAACATGCTGCCCTTTTTAATGCTGACTCTCAGCCTGGCAGCCATCATGGTGTTGAGACCACTGCAGTGTTACAAGATTTACAACTGAAGTTTTTAATGATGTTATATAAATGATTTCAAGCAGATTGTCTTTGCTTTTCCATTTGATACAGATGTCATCAGTTTTATTATGTCCACATTATTAAGTTTTAGGTACAGGAGAAGCTAATGTGCGTCTTGTTTCTGAAGATTTAGCAAATAATCACCAACAGCCTGATTATTATTAGTTTATTCTATAACTGTTATTCTCTCAGTGGTGTACCTGCTGATTGCTTTCTTGTTGCAGAGCTTTCCACTGGTACATCATGTATATTGCTTGTGTTTGTGCTCAGTCTTGTATGCTCATGGAGCGCTCACCCCCTCTTTTTCTTGTTATTGCTTGTCTACAGGCAGTTGAAGCAAAGTTGTCCCTGGATGCCTTACTGCAGATGACAGGTGCTCAGGTGAGGGATACAATGCGAAGACTAGGGTCCAGTTCAGAAGAATGTGCTAGGCTCAGTGCTGCCCTCTCCTGTCTGAAGAGTGCCACTGAATCAGGTATGTGTTTCCTCCATGGGAGCCTCAAAGATCGAATGCATCACATTGTATTCTTCTTGGACTTTCTGCTGATGGTGTTTTTCTGCTTGTCCAGGAGGTGAACTGAGAGAGGATGGCGGCCCCTGGCTGTCTGAGCCCACAAGGAGGGACAGTGGCTCTCTGTTGACTGCAGACCAGCTAACCAGCCTGGGGACTCCACTCCGCCCTCACAGTCCCTCACCTCTCGCCCGCCCATCCGCCATCCAGTCCACCCCATCCACCCCCTGCGCCACCTTCCCTCATCCCCGCTCTGGTTCGGTGTCGGCAGCACCCACGCCTGAGGCGCTGGCATCATATGGCCACAGTGAAAGCCCTTTCACAGATCCATTCCCAATGTCCTTAGCTCGCGCAGCACGGCTCCACGGACACACATCCACCCCACCCATAACTCCACCCTCAAAGAGGCGTCACCGACTGAAGCCCCCCTGCACTCCTCCACCTCCGTCCCGCAAAGTGCTGCATCTACTTCCCAACATCACCCTGACACGCAGCAAAAGCCACGAGTCCCAGCTGGGCAACCGCATCGAGGACCCGCCCACCAATAAGTAGGTGCTCAGAAAGATGTTTGGTGTAATATACTGTTACAAAAATCACCTTTTACAAGAGCTTTCTCTAACTAGGTCAGATTAGAACTAAATTGAAATCCTCAGATCAAATTCTAATTGTAACACATTTCCGCCGTTGGCCTTGTTAGCACAGGTTTACGGGAATTGGGGAGTGTTGGGGAAAGTGCTGGGAGAGGAGAGCTACTGTAACGTATAGTTAACTAGCATTGTCTTTGCAGTTCTTTAACCATATTATGCAGGCATTTTCTTCAGCCTGGGGTCTCATTACTGTTTGCACCTTGATTTCTTAAGGTGCTTTACTACTTACTCTTTACTAATAATGGGTCTGATAAATCCAAATTTTATATGAACTGTTATGAACTTGTATTCTAAATAGGTCCCTTTGTATTTCCTGTTGGAATGCTTTGCAGTGTATTTAAATTACATCAGCTAACAGGAAGCAAAGATGGACCCAAGCTAATGCCTAGTAATTGCCTAGGTCCAGACCTTTGAATCTGCCCACTCCATTGAACTCTGATTGATTCATCTGGCGTTGTGACATGAAACAGCAGTTTCTCAGTTAAAATAAAAATAACCTATGAACTCCGTGGTGCCACTCAGTTAGCCAATCAGTGCCATGCTCAGGACTAACACTGTTGTCAAGAGTTGTCAAGCAGTGTGCCAGAACCACTGAGGAACTATAACGACAATGGTGAGCTCTATAGACTAAACAGAAACGTCTGTCAAGGCTCTTCTAAATTGACATGTCTCCTAATCTAAGGATCTGTGGATGCTAACACAGATGTCCTGCCAAGATGTTAACAAATCGAAAAACTGTTTACTTTCCCAAATCTCATTTTATCTTAGCAGTTTTTTTTTGTTTAGACTCTACTGCAGCTCTGCCATTCCATTACTAAAAGATGAAGTAATATGATTCTCCACTACAACTAGTTTTTGTACGAGTGAAGTGATTAATTGATCCTCATAAAATGCACTGATGGCACTTTTAGGGATCGATGGAATTGTAGGAACTGTTTCATACCATTATCTATTTATTGAATGCTTGCGATTTGCCTTGACATTTGGTAAGATGACTTCAAACACTGTATTAGCCAATAGGCTTGGGCATCTTCAAGGTATGAGGGTATACTGGGGTATATAGAAATCCCAAAGTTCTGATTTTCAATACCGTCCAAAAAAACCAGACACTTCTCTGCCCATTAAACTGATACGGAGATGCTGTTTTAACGTGATGTATTGTAGCGCACAGCACGTGCCACCAGAGGTCAGTGTTTACAGGTGAAACAGCTGTGCTGAGATCAACGCTAACTGAGAGTGGTGAGGATAATGTTACAGGACTTGTAAAAAGAAATGCTTCATAGGTCTCCTTGCTAACCAAATAAATAGGACTAGAGATGGAATCTTGAAAATATTGCCACAAATAATTTTATCTTGAGATGACTTTATCCAACCACAAAAGTAGTTTAATAGCCACATGATTTTATTCAACTGCCAGTCTGCAGCCACCACTGCTATATCATCTCAGCTCTGTTGATGTGTCCACATGTCCTTTGGTCATCCAGCAAGAATCTATGAAAAAAGGGTGCTCATTTGTTTCCTGTCTGTTCATTATTCATTGTTTTGTTTTGTTTTTTCATAAAAATTCCATTATATACAGTATACCCCAGTGAATTGTCAGGAAGGTTTGAAGGTAGAAAAAAAAGGCATGACAAATTGAGGGAAGGGGTTTTGCTGCAAAGTCAACACATAGCAGGAGTGGGTGCTGTAGCCTACTTGAACAAGCATGATCATGGTGGTATTACAGTAATTGGGTTACTGTTACAGCCTCATGTTTCTTATCAACCACTGATGACAGCAGCTGTTGGTACAATTCTCCTAAAAAACATCAGTCCAGTGTCTCGTTCTCACCTCAGTCTTACTTTGTGTCAGGACAGAGGCAGATACGCTCACATTCCCTCACTCACCCTCTTTCTACATCCTTTCACATCCTGCCTGTTGCTCCTTTGCTCCGGCTGTATGAGTGGAGCTAATCCCCTCACAGATTCCCAGAGATTATGACTCATGTCAAAACAGGAAGTATTTCCTAGGACTAATGCTCAGAGGTGGCAAGACACACAATCTCTTTCTCTCTCTCCCTCATTTTTTTCTCTCTCTCTCTCTATTGTGATTGGATGCACATACACAAACAAGCCACATGTTTATCCATAATATCCTGTCTGTTTATGGAAAGCTTTAGTGGGGAAAAAAACTGGGCAACGGCAGAAGTAAATATGGCTGACATAGATCCAATGCATCTAATGCACACACACACACACACAATCCTGCTAGTTTATCCTGGCTTTGTACACTTTGTGGTATATAACAACAGCAATCTGAAAACAGGTCACAGGTCTGATTGCTGATTGAACAGAACTCAAGATTAAAACAAACAGATTCTTTTTCAAACGAGGATTACTCATGTGCGTGTGTGTGTGTGTGTGTGTGTAAACCACAGAGCTGGCACTGCTCGGCGCTTCAGTCCTTGTGACTTCAGTCTGGGTGTTAAGCATGTCACCCTGTCTATCCCGTGCCAGTGCTATTTAGGTACTCCAACGTGCCTCTCTCTAGCCCTTACATAACCTGTCCCGAACAGTCTGGTGTTCCAGCGATGCTGCAGATCCGCTGTAACATCCAGTCTTAGTTTGTTGCCAGTGAACTGGACCCACTGATGCTCACATTTCTTTAACTTTCCTCCTCTCCAGGTGTGTTAAAAAGAATAAGCTGTTACTGAATATGCAAGTTAACGGGAATGGATGTGAGGACTCACCTTCCCGTTACCCTGTCATGTCTGCGCGCACTCCTGGAGTCCTCCCAGCTGCCACCACAGCATCCTACAACCTGCCTGGCACGCCCACCCTCATGGAGGAGCACAGCACCATTAAGAGTGAGTCATGCTCATCGTGTATATATTCTTTTATTTTGCTGATTTGGTGAATATGCATGTTTGACGTGCCAAAAATAGTCTTATGATTATCCAATATGACCAGTCAAAAATAGAAAGGATTTCTGGACGAAATAAGCATAGTTTGTTAAATTGGTTCTAAAAAATGTACTAATCCTCATCTTTATTTCAAATGTATTCATGTGTTTGGGTTTGAATGTGACTGAACATTTCCTCAATCATTCCTGATCCTGTTCTAATGACAAAATCTAAAATGTTGAATGCTCATTTTTAATGTGATTTACTACTGGGGCAGGCCGCCATTAGAAATTATGGACAGGGACAAAATTTTCCAAATTGGGCTCCTCATCCACACCCATTTCATCATCACCACGCGACCTGTAACAAAGGTCTCATAATTTTGGGTTATGGACAAAACAAGGCACTAGAGGATGTAATCTTGAGCTTTGGGAAACACTGATTAAGATCTTTAACCATTTTCTGACATTTCATAGGCCAAACAACTAATTGATTAATTGAGAAAATAATTGACACATTAATCGATAATGAATAATTGTTAGCTGATACCGTAAACACCAACACCCACCCACCCACAGCTCTAATACTAACACGTGCAACTTCAAATGAGTTCCTGGGTATTAGCCTAACAGTGACAGATGGAGTCTCTTACAACCATTTCCAAATCCAGTGTTATAGACCCACCCAGGTCATGCTCTGTTTCGCATATGTACATATACTTCATATGATCAGGAAGCACAAAAGGTCTAGTAAGTTATATTTCAAAATAGAGAAATGTTTTCTATAAAATAAGACTGTGACAGTTTTAATCCTCCTTTCACTTTAAAACAAAACCAGAGGAAAATGCCCTCCAATGAATGATTAGGGAAAAAGTAACTCTCATTAAAGAATTACTGCAAGGCCTTAAATCATAAGATCAAGTCATGAGTGGAAAAATACATTTACTCTTTCATCTGTGACAATTTCCAAATCCAGTGTTTATTATGTGTTCATTTATGCAATTCCAGGACTGTTAAGGGACCCCAGTGTGCAGAAATATTCCACTAACATTTTTGAAAAATGGCAATGCAGCTCTTTCCTCGCAAAAATGTAGCCTCACTTTGGAGCATTATTTAGCCTATTCCCAACAAAATAATGTCATCTAGTTACATGTGATACATACTAGCTTTAAAACTGACCCTGCTACAGCTGATTTTATCTGCTAGTCTGCCCAGCTCCTTGCCTTTGCAACATTCAGCTTGCCTGTAGTACCTGGTGTGGTCGAAACTGAACCGCACCATTTTCACAATAACTGTGGGGTTAAGGTATCAAATGACAAGGTAAAATTTATTTAAATATCAATCACCATTGTCATCTTTGACCCCTTTCCCCGACAGCAGGCCTGCACTGGGGTCACGTCATTAGATATGTCATAGATACCAGTCTTTCTCGACATAACCCAATCCTCCCCTTGATCTTTCCGTCCTTCCATCTCTTTCTTCTTGGCTAGATAACGTAGCAGTGCATCGCAGCTCCCCACAAGCAGTGAGGAGGGACATCGGCCTAGCAGTCACACACAGGTACATCTTTCTCTTACACACGATATGTTCTGTCCTAAGCTTATGTCATGATAAAGCTAACAAGCTAGAATTGTTTTTAATAAAATAATACATAATTTAATACTGCAGGTTTGATACCTTTTCTTGTGTTCATGTAGGTTTTCAACCAAGTCCTGGCTGTCCCAGACGTGTCAGGTGTGCCAGAAGAACATGATGTTTGGGGTGAAGTGCAAACACTGTCGGTGAGTTAAGCACTTTGTCGACTTTAAGTGTTTTGTTATTGACCAAGACAGTAGAACAGTAGCATGTTAGGAGGAAACACAGTAGCTCTGACAGGATTCAGTTCAGGAGCCGGACTAGAAGAGATACCACATGCTGATATTCTGCCAAATATCTGTTCAGGTTAAAGTGCCACAACAAATGCACCAAGGAGGCCCCATCCTGCAGAATCTCATTTCTACCAAGTAAGCTTTGTTTCATCCTCAATCTACGGTTGATCGACTCAATGCGTTGTGCATATACATCGTTAACATTTCCAATTTCTCTTCTAGTTGCCAAAATTCGGAGGACCGAGTCTGTTCCTTCTGATATAAACAACCCTGTGGACCGGCCGCCAGAAGCACCGCAGTTTGGCACACTACCGAAGGCCATTACGAAAAAGGTAAAATACGGAGTCCTGAATTATAGCACACACAGTCACTTTATGTAGAACTTAAAAACAGCGTTGATTTATAGTGAATTTACAAAAGATGACACCAAGATAGCCACTGTGTGGGATGTCACTGAAGTGCAAGACTTGAGTTTTGTCTCTGGCACTTAAGCATTTGTATGAAAATTAAGACCACATTTGCAATAATCCCCATCGGTTCCTGTTGCACAGATGATCTCTCTCTCTGATCCAATTCTGCATGTGTTTGTTTTAGAGGGAAGTGACAAATAATTCTGCAAGTGATTTTGCCATTGGCTTTTCAGTCTTTTCACCATCTGCCCTTTCAAAACATTGTAAAGATTAGTGAAGCTCTCCACATTTTATACCGTCCGTAGCAATCCGTATTTCTGCCATAGCGCAACGCAACAGACTTTCCTTGAAATCACACAGACTGCTACAGTGTAAAATGAGAGTAAAACAAAGTGTTGAAGCTGTCTAAGTCGTCTTAGACATTAATTCTGATTTGTGTCGTTTGCATCTGTCTCTGCCCAACTAGGATCATCCTCCTGTGCTGAACCAGCTGGACTCCAGCAGCAATCCGTCCTCCACCACCTCGTCCACACCTTCCTCCCCTGCACCCTTCCAGCAGAGCAACCCCCCCAGCGCCACCCCACCACCCAACCCCTCGCCAAAAGGCCACCGGGACAGCCGCTTCAACTTCCCAGGTAAGCGTCACAGATGCCTGGGTACAGAAACACAACTATAGATAACCTGATAAACACAAACAAACCCAAATGAAATGTGCATGTTAGCATTGTACTCTGAATTTCTCCTTGTTACACATTTTTTCCCTGAATAATTCCAGTTTAACAGTATTAATGTGACACAAACATGCTTCTCTTCCCTTCTCTCTCCATATCTGACATTAACACTGAGGAACAACTGTGCTTTTTACAAGATCTGTCACCTCAAAGCTTCTCTAACCAAGAGTCTCCTTCCCTGCCATGCTCGTTGGTCTTTCCCTTTCTCTTTTTTGCAAAAGCTGCCTGTTACTTTCAGCACAGACAGCAGTTTATCTTCCCCGGTGAGTTGACGGTCTGAAAGTGTCAAGCTGCACTGTCATTCTCCCATCATTCCACTCTTCAAACCTTAGATTCCCCGTAGCTCTCTCCGTCCTCTGCATGTTTGCTTTTAGGGTGGGAGCAGTAACAGTTACTGTTGCTATCTTTCACCAGTGTGTGCCAGCACAAGGATTGCATGTTGTCACTTAACGGCCTGTAACACCATCTGCTGGTGGTAGTGGGGAATTGCATGAGTAGAAATTTCATTTATGCAGTGTGCCATGAGGCTTTCCGAAGGGGAAAGGGGGCCAGACATAAGAGAAATAGACTTTTTTTTCTTATCTTATTTCTTGTTAAATTGTCTTCATTTTCTTTACAGATGTATCCAGTCCTGCTCATTTGCACCCTGATGTTCTCCAAGACTCTGTGTAAGACATTTATGAGTTCACTCAGTAGCTGAATTGTTCAGTTTTTCTTGAATTTTACGCCTCTGATATCAATTCTCTGTATCACAGCAGTGAGATCGAGCAGTCGGCGGATGACATTCATGCTGAGCTGGTAGAGGATGAAGATGAAGAGGTAATGTGCAACATGACTTAGTTCAGGTTGTATTGTCAGTGTAATGTTGTTCTGAGTCATATTTCTGTATCTTTGCATCACATTCTGTTCAGCTTTTGGGGACTGATGATCATCGACTAATATCCATTCAAGGTAGCACAGGGATGGGAAAAGAAATAAAATTAGCTGATTGACTGAGAGACTCAGACAACTCAGATCATGCATGGGATAAGTGAAAGTTTAATTTCATGATTATCCTGGTCAAAATAATTGCAATTCACTTTATTATCCTGATATTCATCAAATTATGCTTAAAACTCTTAAAAGGCAGTGAAATATACTGAAATCATTTTACATTTATTAGAGAACAAATATATTTTATTGCATCACAGATAGGACACTAATCTTTTTGTGAACATCCTTTTTCAGTCAGCACAGACTGCCCAGGCTTAGGGGCCTGTCTACGGGCGTACTGGACAGCGACGCTGTTGTCCGTGCATTTGATGATTTCTCTCTATCTGCTCATTAAGCAGATAATTGAATAATTTGTGTAACATGAGTAACAACATATGTTTTGATTAGAAACTGTATTGTGATTACTGTATTTAGGAACAGTAAGGTGTTACATCACTTCATTCCAGACAAATGTAATGTGATTATACTGGTCATTGGTTAAGCTCATTTCTCTCAAACTGTACTGGACTGCAGTAGATGTGTTCTATGAATTCTGGCACATATGAGGTCATTTTTAGTGATATAATGATAGCATTTTTTCATGTCATTAAAATACCCAGATTGCAGGTTTCTTGTAAATAATTTCAGTGTGGATTGCCTGACATTAGCTGAAAACAATAGCTCCTCTGACATTTGTTTATGGAACCAGGTCGACTTGTTTGGCTGTGATGATGCTTTAGCTGTGGTGTTATTAATTTAACTATGAGAGTCTTGCTGACATGTAAATATCACTGTTTTAAAACTGAGACAGCAACGATAAGCTGGATACAAAGGGAAAACAATACTTAGAAGTCAATGCTGGCTCACATTTACCAAATATATTGACTCATCCACCATAAAACTAAATATGTAACCATCCAGTAGGGAGCTCCAGCTCCCTAATATACAGTTTTGTAAGTAAACAATTTTCACTCAACTGTTTTAGGGTAGACTTAATGTTTTATCCATTTTATATGCAGAGTAGATTAACAAAACACCACCTTCTTACAGGAAGGGGAGGAGGAAATTGAGGTTGAAGATGAAGACCCCGATGCAGAGGATGATAATGAGGAAGAAGAGGAAGATGATGAGAATGAAGGGGAAGACGAGGATGATGGGGAGGACATCAGGATGAACGTAGGCTCAGATGGTGAGTGTGATGAGCTGGATGACCTGCCCAGCTCTCGGGGAAACCAGTGGAAAGGCCCCATCTCCCGCAAGGCGAGTCAGACCAGTGTGTACCTGCAGGAGTGGGACATCCCCTTTGAGCAGCTGGACCTCGGAGAACTCATAGGAAAGGTGAGGAATCGGACTCTCACGTTAATAGTGTACATATAATACTCAGAAAAGGCACTTCTGCTGAAGCTGTTTGTCCTTGCAGGGCCGCTGGGGCAAAGTGCACAAGGGTCGGTGGCACGGCGAGGTCGCTATCCGACTTCTTGAGATTGACGGGAACAATCAGGATCACCTGAAGCTCTTTAAAAAGGAGGTGATGAACTACAGACAAACCAGGCACGAGAATGTGGTCCTCTTTATGGGGGCCTGCATGGCTCCACCCCATCTAGCCATCATCACCAGGTGAGAGCAGACGCATCAAACTCACCTCTGAAATGATTCTCATTCAAATGCATGCTTTCATCTTCAACTGAATCTTTTCTTGTCTCTCTCCGCATCCACAGTTTCTGTAAAGGGAGGACGCTGTATTCAGTTGTAAGAGACACTAAAAACACTTTGGATATTAATAAGACAAGACAAATTGCTCAGGAGATTGTAAAGGTAATTTATCTTTCTTCTTTCTTCTATTCATTGATGCATTTGTAATGATCTAAATGAGAACTCCAGTATTTTTCAACCTGGACCCTGTTTGTGACTTTTGGGAACAACAGTTTTTGAAAGTAGTACAATGCTGAGAGAAAGGGCTGCAGCCAGCAGCACCAAAACAGGCTACAATGTAACCACCTGAGGCTGGTGCACCTCTTCATTTAACCTTTTTTGTCACAGATTGTTATAATAAGTGTCTCACAACATTACGGAAATGACCCGACAGAGAAATGAAAGAGTTTTCTGTACCTTTCACTTATCCTGGTCTGATTTGTGTCCAACTCGCTGAAGAATAAGTCTCTTTCTGAAAACTCACGAGAGATGACTTGTTGCAGGAAATAAATGGTGGAAACATAAGTGCGAGTTGGAAGGAGGAGTACCAGTAATAGTTTGTTACGTTGGAGAACAAAAAATGTATCTTATTCCTATCTGAAAGATTTCTGATGTCATGGCAGAGTTTGATCACCAAAATCTAATCACTTCATTGTTTAGTTAAAGTGAATATTTGCGCCAAATTTGAAGAAATTTCCTCAAGGCCTTCTGGAAGTATTACGTTCACGAGAATGGGACAGATGGACAGACATACAAACAACCTGAAAACATAATGCTTCCGTCCAAGGCAGTCACCGGAGCAGAAGCATAAAAACAAAAACAAACAAACAAACAACAAAAAAATCAAATATGAAGTAGTTAAAAACCAAGCAAACTAAAAAGACAGTATGAACATATGGCAAACAGGTTGGATACTGCACACATTTATGTATATTTACATACATGCATACATGCAAGTACACATATAGACATATACTCATATACATATACATGTATTCAAGACAAAGACAGACCAGGTTCCTTTCATTGAATTAGAAAATTGTTGTTCCTACAAGTCACTTAGATACAAAAACATTACAATTACAATTTATTTATTTAAGGTAGGGACAGTACATATTAATGAACATAGTTCAGTAGTACATGTAAATATGCCAGATTGTAGCCCATGGCTAATTTCCATCTGTCGTCCCTAGGCAGGTTGTTGTTACATTAGTAACGTAAAAACAAAATGCATAAATAGCACACGAGATACAGTAGAAACATGGAGAAACAGTACAGATATACACATAGTAAATAGTAAACTGTAGAAAACATTCGAATACATCAGGAGTGACTGAGGAACTAGATCAGGAGTGACCATAGAAATTGAAAAGAGGATGAAAATTGAAATTTCATTGTATTGCACATTTCATTATATTGCACATAGCCCTATTATATTGCACCAACCCTGTTGCACATAACCCTATTCTAACATGGGAAAATAAGGTCCAGGTTGAGTTTCCCATTAAGCACTGACATGTTGTGTTTTCCAGCCCTGAAGTTACATGCCAAAAAAAATATTTTCATTATAAGAAACAAGATATCTGTATTATAAATAGGTCAGAGAAATTAAATATGACATTGTTTATTAGATATGTTTCTATTTTGGAATATATTTCTTTGTGCAACCTGAATATGAATAATTAGTATTTTGCCTGTCCAGGCTAATTCTTTAGGCTATGTGTATGAAAAGTTAACACCACAGCAAAAAGACAAATAGTCCATAACTGTCACTTTGTCTCCTGATGCAGGGAATGGGCTATCTGCACGCTAAAGGCATTGTTCACAAAGACTTGAAGTCAAAGAATGTTTTTCATGACACCAATAAAGTCATAATCACAGACTTCGGGCTGTTTGGCATCTCTGGAGTTGTTCAGGAGGGAAGGTAAGTGACGCCACTCGAGACGCCTTAAAAACAGCCAAAGTGCTGTTTCACACCACACTGCTATTACCTGGGGAGGGCCAGTGATTTGTAATAATTGCTGAGGTCCACAGTGGCTCCAGTCCTGCAGGCATCTCCCCTGTCAGACAGTATTTTTTGCCCATATTGAAGTCTCCTGATTGTAAAATACTTTGCAGCACACTCCTGTTTTTTGAAGAACATTTTGAACACACAGCCTGCTAATGTTGTCCTCCCTTTGTGTATGGCTTCATGAATAGCTTTTGTGCACAGGAGTTGGAGATGGACTACATTTAGTTAATGCATTTTCCACTCTAGTTAATGCATCTATCCACTCAGATTTTCCACTCCATTTGATTTGTTACTGACAAATGTGTACCTTTTTTTTTTTTTTTTAAATCCAGGCGTGAGAACAAACTAAAACTTCCACATGGCTGGATTTGTTATCTCGCACCAGAGATTGTGCGCAGGATGAGCCCAGGTAACAATGAGGACCGCCTTCCTTTTTCCACCGCAGCAGATGTGTACGCCTTTGGGTGAGTTCTGCCCACTCATCTTAGTTTAAGCTTGGGGACCTACTGTTCAGCCACACCTGTTTCTGACTGAGGAGCATACTTAGTTTATCATTTGACAGAATAATCATACTTATTCTCTGCCTCTTTAAGCACCATTTGGTATGAGCTTCAAGCAAGGGACTGGCCAATCACCAACCAGCATGTGGAAGCTACCATCTGGCAGGTGGGGAGCGGAGAGGGCATAAAGAAGGTCTTGGCGGAGATCAGCCTCGGCAAGGAGGTCACTGTGAGTGTCAGTCATTCAGAAAAATATATATTTGTTCTGCTTATAAAAGAGTGACATGTAGATGTGAAACTTTTTTAGGTCAATCATCATTTATAGTCCTCTGTACAGTGGACACACGTTCCGTGCTTTGACTCAAAGGGTTTTGTCTTCTCAGGAGATCCTGTCCGCCTGCTGGGCGTACGACCTGAGAGAGAGGCCGACCTTCACCCAGCTGGCCGACATGCTGGAGAAGCTGCCCAAGCTCAACCGCAGGCTCTCCCACCCCGGACATTTCTGGAAGTCTGCAGAGTAGGTATCCAGAAATGAAGGACAATGTCAAGACACTGGACGTGTGAAAACAGAAAAAAAAGATCCCTTAGTTCTCGTCACCTGGTTCCTTGTGGTACAATGGCCTGTCAGTGATGATCCTATTAGTCGCTGACTCCAAATAAAGTGAGACTGCAGCCTTCAGGGGTTAGGTTTGGCGTTATATAGTCTTACTTATAAAGAAGATTCATTGATGTATTTGGTAGATATATTTTGAAAGTAACATAAATAGGTTTGAAGGATCTCATAAACTGTTCATCATCACACATGACCCAAATACGGTCTGTCACTGCACCACGGCATCGCTCCTCTCAGCTCTGCTGTTGCTTGCTCTTTAATGAAATGTGAAGTTTGTGGTTTATGTGTTATGTAAATGTGAATTGTAAAGTTTAATTTATTAATTGTCACACAACATTCTTGACAATTGTCTCACGATGAAAACGGCGCATTTTGGACAGAAAAAAGTATCACAAGGAACGACTGTCACTGTCTCATACATGTCAAGAGAAACATCACAGACTGTCGCGCAGTGTGGTTGGGAAATTTGTTGTCATGGCAATTTTCAGTTCCTTAAACAAGGCTGGCAGGACAAGTTAAGATGTATAAGACAGATCCAGACAGATTTAAAGTTATAAATTGTGTTTGTATTCATTTCTGTCCTCTTACGTGTGTGAAACTACTGTAATTTAGCAAGAAACAGCAGATGGATGAGGTTAACTGTGCAATCACTCAGCTAACTCATTTCTTTGTTCTCACTGTCCAGAAGTGGGACTCAGAGGGGCATAAGTAACATTTTGGGCAGAAATGAGTTATATATATCAAATGAAAGCTCATAATAAATGCTGTCTATTGCCAAAGAGGTACTTCTAAACCAATCCAGATTTATTCATCATAAACCAAAAGACTCACTTACTTAAAATATTTTTAAAAAATAATGTCAAAATGTTGATTTTAAGTATATTGAAGACTCAATAAACAAAGTCAGGAAAAAGCATGATCATTTTTTTGTTTTGGCTGTCCTGTAAAGTTAAATGTCACTTACACCTCTCTGATTCTCATCTAGTTATAAATATGGGTCATTTTGTGGCATGTCATCATCTAAAGCCAAGAGTAACTGTCCAAACTGTGAATCAACCAAGTAAAAATTCAGTTAAACACACACAAAAAACTTAAGTTGAGGGAATATTTAGAGCTAAAAAGTCATAACTTTCTCCCATGATGTCATCTCCACAAGTATGTGGTAATCCTGCACATTTCTGCACCACACTGGATTTCATCCTATTTTTACCCAGACCAGCTTTTCCACTTCCTGTTGCCAAACACCCTCTATGCAGTCACTGACATGACTTCATCACAACTTTTACACCATGTTTCCCACTTGTTTCCTGCGTCTTATTCATGATTTGCTTTTTCACATTCCTCTTTTCTGTCTGCTCTAAGACTACAAGCAATCATTTTATTTTGAGGGGCTTCACTACGAATCCTGTATAGTTAAAATGCCAGTTTTGTTTAGCTGGATAATGGAGGAGGTGCAAGCAAAGTTTCCTCAAAAAGGAAACAGCACATATGACTAAGAGGTCTGCATGGTCATGACATAATGAGTCTTAAAACAGTTCTTTGATTGGATTCACACAGCCTGACCTGTTGTCCTTTAACTCATCTACTTGTATGTAATATCTTGCTGCTTTTCAAATTTATGCTTTCTTCACTGTTAAGCTGTTGCACTTTCACTAACCGTCTAACGTCTGTCTTTTTCTTTGCTCTTTTCTCTCTTTTCTTATTCTCTTTTCCAATGTAGGTTGTAGCAGTCACTCTGAAACATAAGCAATGCAAAACAAAGCCTGGGTCTGCCTTGCATGCTCCTGTATCCTTAACTCTTACAGGATTGATCAAAGCATTGCCTCTGCCTGAAACAGACACTGCTTCCACTAATCCACAGTCTGATCTTCCATGTCTAACCGTTGGGGTTTCTTGTTGGGAAGAGAGGATCGGTGGAGCGAGGTGTGGCGGGAGGGGGAGGGGAGGGGACACAGCTGTCGTCCTTCACGCTTTCCCTCCTTTCGTCCAGTATCTCTTTGCCTTCCTTTTTTTTTTTGTTCTGTGATGTCGTCCGGGACTCTGAGCATTGTGAATAACTGGCTTGTGGTGTCTGTGCTGAGACTGACTGGTGTGCTGTGGTCTGCGCCCGCTGACGGTCGCCCCGTCCTCGGGCCTGCTCACCTTCTCTGTGCTGCTGTGATGTGGTTGTTCTCGCCGGGGCCCTGACCAACCACACGGCTCTTTTTCTCTCTGAAACACACACAAATAAAAAAACACTGCTGGACATAAAATGGACCCTGCTACCAAATGGACCACTTCATTTATCTGTGTTTTCCCTGAGGGGGTTTACACACGTTTGCAGGCTGAGCGATGTTCTCAAACCAACTGCCTCTCTGCTCCTCTCTCTCAGTTTTGAACGGTTGTGTGATGGCATGTGGTGAGATGGCCCATGTCTAGACACAATATGCACTTTGTCAACAGGAAAAAAATAATCATGAACTCTTTTTGTTGTTGTTGTTTAGTTTGAATAGTCATATTTGCAGTGTTTTTGTTTTTCTTTTTCTTCAGGAGGGTCTCAGAGGCTCTGAGAGTGTGATATGCTCACTTGTATGTTGTCTTTTTTTGGAGTATAACCTGGTAAATTCACTGTTTATTGGATGCATCTGAAAACAGGGCACTGATGAAGACTTCTGTACGCTAAACAGCAGCTGAAACGAAAAGACACAGGTGAAATATTCCCTTCATCATTCACAATCCACATGGGGAATAGAATAATGCTGGCTATTTATGATAAAAGACTTTTTAATAATAATGTCCATCCATTGAAGTGTAAAGTGCACCTTATAAGAGTTATTTAGAAAGATCCTTCTTTCAAGAAGTCGAGCAATTTCATTCTCTGCGCAAAAACAAAAAATATAAATCAGGAACCTGGCGCAAAAGTGTCCTATATCTTCCTAAGACATTACCTCTTGTGCGCGCTTGTGTATACTGTTTGTGATTGCTGGCTTCAGTTGGCGTGCTTGTATTTATGTGTTGTGTGTGGGTGCACGTGTGACTGAGTGAGCGTACCGTGTCTGAACACGTAGGGTTGGTTTTGACCGCAGTAAACGTCGTGTTGCAAATCCAATGGTATGTAATGTACATACATTATTTAATGTATAGCAAATGAACATGATTCTTCTAATATTTGTATAAACATTTTTCTATGTAAAATACATCACAACATTTTTGAATAGGTACTGCTATGGCTATTACAGATGTATATATATTTATATTTTTTTCATGTATAAAAATAACTGTATAAAAGCTGTACAATTTTTTAGAACGGGCCAATACATGTTTTTTTATGTTATTGTAAAAATTCATATTTTTGTATTGCATGTGACTACCATTCTGTACACGCAGTTTCTGTTTTCATCCATGAAAGACAATAAAATGAGGCTTGTCATGTAACAGTAGAGTGGATGCAATTATTATATTGTTATAGCGCAATTATGTCCATCCTGGCAGTATACAGTAGAACTTATTTTCTCTTTTGATAACTTAGTTTTTTTGTCTAGTTTTCTTGATATATAACTGCTAGATAGAACCTTCCATTTCCAAACTATTAAAAAATCAAACATAGTTAAACAAATTGGCACTTTTTTTTGGGGGGGGGGGTCTCATCATATGTTAGCTCACCAATGCCAAAAGGCTGGTTGTCTGGTCCCCAAAAAGACTAATATACAGCTTTATTTTGAAGGAGGAAATTTAGGGGAGACTTGTGGGTACTCAGAGAACCCTTTTTTATTCAGATATATTGAGCTGAGAGTTCAATGGACCCCTTTGAAAATAGCCGTGCCAGTTGTTCTCTCACTAAAATTTAGCTTAAATTTGGAGCCTCATTTAGCCCCCTTCCCAACAAGCTATGCCAACATGACTGGTACCAATGGATGCCTTAGTTTGTCTAGTTTCACAAAATAGCTTCAAAGGGTAATATTGCCCCCCAATTATTTTTACCAGGGGGCCCAGTGGTGGGAGGGCAGCAATTGTATTATGGAGGCCATGACCTCCTTTGTGGGCACCATAGATGTACATTCTCATCAAATTAAATTTTTAATCATGTGTTATTAATATTTAAAGTGAATATTAGATCATTCAGTTCAAAATTAAGCGGGGTTGAATGTCTAGAATCTGGTTAAGGCACTGCTAAATATAGCAAAGAAACACATAAAAGGCCACTTTTTATCTAATAAAAATAACAAGTGATCTATCATTTAATTTCTGTGTATTCTTGTATATATATTCCTGTTTTTCTTATTTCTGACAGGAACATAAGTAGTATAATAGCTGAAGAATCACCCAAAAACAAATGAAAAATTAAAGAATCATGAGTTTTGTATTTAAAAAATATAGATATATAAATGAGAAAATGCAGACAAGCATTAATCAGTCAAATTTGTTTGACTGGGGACAAAGATGGTCGGCACATGATTTGGATTCAAAGCATATGTTTATTGACAACAACAATTCTGCGTTTTCAAACCAATCAATGAGGCAGGTTAGAAAGATCATTAGTGTTGAGGCTAGATGAGTGAGGATAGGCTGGTTGTTGTCTTGGGAAAAAGTTCCACTCTAAAATGTGTAGGAAGAAGAGCACACATCAGGCTCATAGGAGCACACCAGGTGGATTTCATATGCTTAGTGGTCCCACTTAGCCCCTGCATACTGTAAAACTTGTAAAATTACTGTTTCCAAGGTCAGTAATGAAGCTCATTTGAGTAGAAGGTCATGAATAAGCTTGCAGCAGCTGTGCAGTGTTCAAAATCTCAGTTTGCCTCTAGATGGCATAAAGAGCCAACACAAAGTACCAGTCATCTTCAGCCTTTGTGTTCTGAGCTGTGCTGTTTTATTACAGCAGTGCACATTTTACATCAAGTTTGGTTATATATCTTTTTGTGGCATTGTATGCTTTGAGTATTATGCAATGTTCAGGTGTGAAACAGGAGTCATTCTTTAACCCAGAACAGCTGAATCAGCCTATGTAAAAAAAAAAAAAAGAGCTAAATCTGGAAACCACTTGAGCCTGTGAGTTTGTCAGCTAAAATGTCTGAATCTGCTCCAGCATTAATGGGAAAAAGTGACTCAGAGTGCATTCAGGAGGTCATCTCTGTATGACAGCATATTATCTGGTTAAAAAGTAACATACCAGTACTGTGGTTAAGTAAGACTGCTTGCATCAACATTATCCAAATCTGGCTTGGAAATTTACTTGAGCCATATTTATCCAGTCGTATTCTATAGCAGAGCAGTATGGATAGTTGGCATAGGCAGTGCTTTTATCAGCTTCATAAATAAAACTTAGGCCTTGTTTTTTTCACATTTGTGCTTATGCAGTCTTAAGTGATGACTATCAAAAGTTTATAATATAAGGCCTTGGGAGCTGTCAGTTGAATGATAAATACTGCTTGCATCTGGTCCTCGAGACTTGTTATCAGTGAGGATGCATCTGAAGTGTGGCTTTGACTTCTAAGAATGATGGATTGATTTCTGCATACTGGTATCAGTCCAACTAAAAAGAAAGGACCTTGTTTCCTGGCTGATGATGCACTGCAACCAAAAGCTCTCTGACTCCAACTGGTACTAGATCACATGACCAGCATTTGGTGAGGGGGGAACTGTTTCCTTCAATGGGAGGCCAGACACAGATATTCTTTCTTCTCTGCACAGCGATCAAAGCAAATGACAATTAGCGATTTGTTTGCTTCTGTTTTTTTTGGGGCTGTTACCCAATTCTGGACCTGATGATTTAACAGTAAGGAATATTGACGTGCAGGGCCGATGCACTTCTTTTCTTCTCAAACACATTTAATAGAGGAACAGCGTTCACAATTTAGGGGGATTTAGTGGTATCTAGCAGTGAGGACTGCAGATTGCAACCAACTGAAACTGTTCATGGTTCAGGAGGTTTTAATCGGGAGCCGAATTATCCGCAGGGGTTTTGTCTTCTCCAAAACAAACAGAGCAGGTGATTGAAACTGGTAAAAACACTGAATAAAGCAGTTTCATGTTACAAATCCAGGTTTCTCCAATGCTGTTTGGCACATCGCAGATGGGCCACTATAGAACCTGCTAATGTGTGCTCACCTATTTTCATTTCTGATACAGATGTTCAGGAGTTTTTAACCAGAGGGCAAATTACCCGCAAAGGTCTCCTCCTCGACAACACGAATAGACCCTGTGATTTAAACCGGTAAAAAGGAGTTTTACATTTTCAAAAATCATGTTTGGCTGAAGCTCTCATCGCGAAGAGGCTAGTGACTATGGTGGCCAATGCGAAAATGCAAATGGACCTATCTAGAGCCAGTGTTTGTTTTATCCTTTCTGGGCTCCTGCATTAACATAGTAGTGCGTCATGCTGGACTCTGTAGACACACACTCTATGTTGATATAAAGGGCTCATTCTAATCTAATGAAAACACAACAACTCCTATGTTCCAGTGATTTTACACTATAGAAATCATACTTACTGTATTATGTTCCATTTCTGCCTATACATCCCCCTAAATCCTGCACACTGGACCTTTAATGAGGTTTCCTATGGCAAATCTGTCCTTGGGAAGACAATTTATGACAACTCTGAGTTGAGATTATCTACTTCAAACTGCCCTCTGCAGCCCACAATGTTAACACGAGCCAAACAGTAACTTAGTGGTTGACAGAATTGTGCCCTGGACTGCAGTGTTTCTCTCGGCTCATCAGAATCAATGAAGTGCACAGACTGTCATAAATTGTTACAGAAGATTGCAGCACTCCAGACAAGGATATTCGAGCTGGAGAAGTCCTCTGAACTCCACGACACTCTGCCAATGTCTTCTGCTGGCGATTTAGTTCATCAGAATTCAACTCGACAAGATTTCACTGGACAGCTGTCTCTAAATGACACCCTGACTTTCCCAGGACTCACTGAGACAAAATCAGTCATGTGCTGTGATGGGATTTCTACCTGCTGGGAAAATCTGGGTGCAAAACCTAAAGATAAATGCAAGACTGTACTCCCACAGAGGGCAAGATTTATTCAGCCAGCTTCGACCCTGGAATTTTGACGGGCAGCCAAAGGTGGGCAGAAACACAGACCACAACTGAAAAAAAAAAAAAGTTTAAACCAGTAATAAATATTAATGAGTGGAGATGACTATAAGTTTGGACATGGGAGTATTATGAGTGCCAGGCAACAGAAAAGGGCAAAAAAAAGTCTCACATAAAGCAAGAATCTAAATAAACATCCCAAATGGCTTAAATTACTCTCCATGAGGGGGCCAGTGATGTCTACAGAGAGCAATCAAACGTGCTGAAAAATGAATTTGTTAAGCTGTTAAATTGTCTGGACAAACTGGAGGCCCAGTTTATTATTAGTGGACCACTGCCAACGGTCAACAGTGAGATCAACAACTTTAGCAGACTTCTAGGGCTCAACATATGGCTCAGCAAAACCTGCGGTCTGAAAGGGATCAATTATATTGATAACTTCAATCTGTTCTGGGGACGCAGGCATCTTTTCAAGGCAGATGGCCTCCACCCATTGGCCAGGCCTAACATGATGCACTCTGACATACAACAGCCACATAGTGACAGAGACAAAACATAACAGCCTCAGTGTCAGCATGCTGACAGCTTGTGGATCATTTTCCTAATTCCTCTTTCCTTTACTCTGGGATTCATTGATGAAAATGAAAGTGCTGGTTATCGCTAGCATTAAATTCAGCTCCCGCTCATAGCCATGTCACCTGTGTCCCTGAGAACATTCGGTAACACCAATCTTCCCAAGCTCTGTGCTTAACCTGGTTGCCAGATGAAAATGTTGGCATTGTACATTTCTGCAAACCACGGATAAGTTACATTCGTACATTGTTCTATAGCAGATATGTTGAAACTTTTTATTTTAACAACACTATGGTTAACGTGGGGTTAGGTTCAGGCACAAAAACCACTCGGTTATAGTCATGAAAAGATCATGTTTTGGCTTAAAATAACCAGTTTTGGGGGCACATTCTCTGCTGGAAAAGCAGCAGTGTTTCAATAAAAAACAACTGCTTTTCATGCCACTATCCCGGCAAGAAATGCAACAATATCTTGATAAAAAAAATGGCAGATGTCATGGCATTATCCCTTCTGGAAAACAGTGGCAGATTCACTAAAAAACATTTAACAAATATTTGGTGGCTAAAATGCTCCACAAAGATCCACGTTTGGTGGCTGAAAAGCCCAGGTAACACAGGAATGACTTGCTAAAAAACAGTCCCAACACACAGCAATGGTTGTTTGTTGGTCTCCAACAGAAGTCTGCAGTGATTTGCATCTTGGCAGGCATCCTGCTTAGGTGACCCCATCTCCCCTCTTAGGAATATCTCAACAAATTCAGTCAGAAATTAAGTAACTGAATGTGATGTTTTAGTTGATGTCACTTCAGCTGCACTGCCACATCACAATCACAGCTATTCAAGTCAACACCAAGCAAATCTGCCTGGCATCAGTGCAGACAGGAGAGAGGATGACTAGGACAGACAGGGTCCCTACCTCACTTCCTCTACCCCCTCTTCTCTCTCCTATTGGGCATGAACATACTGCCTCATACACTGGATCACACCAGCGCCCTAAAGCCAGCTCTTCTTCTGCACATCATGTTCCTATTTCTGTTTTGATGAGTAGTAGAGTGAGCAAGATGCACTCAACTATCTGCAATCTGCAAATCTATCAGTTCTCTGTCAGCCACAGTCTTTTCTCAGCCTTCACCAAAAGAAAAAAAATGAATTGGCAAAGGATGCTTTTAACACACTAAATTTAGCTTTATGAAACAGCAGGGCTTTGGCAGGCACATCATGTTAATTAACAATTTAATCATCAAGCACAATCTTGAATTTAGGTTTTTAACTGAACTTGGCTTAATCAAATTAACAGTTGTTATTGAGTCCCAGTTTAAGTTTTATAAGCAAAGCTAGAGTGCACTCACCTTAGTGTTGCTGTTGTCCTGTTGTGATCTTTTCTTATGTCTGTTTTTGCGACGCTGTTATGTAATCGAGGATGTTCTGTAATTGTTTGTTTATGCTTTGTTAAACTGTAATTTAATCTTCTTTTATTGCTGCCCATGTCTGTGTTCTGCTTCTTATGTCTGTCTGTGTTTTATTGATATGCTTTATATCATGATTAAAGTTTTTAAACTCGTTTCGTGATTTTAGGATGCCAGTCCTAGTGATGTTTATGAATAGGCACTGTGCCTGAGAAATAAAGTGAAGTAAATAAATAGAGAAAGCATTTTCATTTTGTTTAATAATTCTATCCAGAGCAGATGTCAAGTCAAGTCCATTTTATTTATACAGCCCAATATCATAAACGCCTCAAGAGATGTCTTTGCTGACATGGAAATTAGCTTCTTTTGAACATATTGCTCTTCAGTCGAGCTCCTCATGTCAAGCTGTATTCTTAAACATCTTCAGGCCATCTAAATATAGTGCAAACTGTTTTAATGACTTTGCTGACCTGCTGTCTATCAACTGCACTGACTTTTACTGAATAGTTATTGTTGCTGATTTTAATATTCATGGTGACAGCCCCCAGGACAGCAGCACTAAAAAACGGTGTTTAGTTTTGGACTGACTCAGCATGTGGCGGAGCCCACACACAATGAGGGCCACACTCTGGACTTGAGTTCTAAAATTATGAACATTATTGATGCCATCGCCCCCACTAAGGTAAAGGTAGGCCCTAGTATGAAAAAAGCAACAGGAGAAATGACACACTGGTAAAAACTGATAAAAGACAGTGTGGAAAAGCTGAGTTCATGTGGCAAAAAACACATCTTCAGGTGCGTTATGACATCTATAAATAAAGACTTCACACATATGATTTTCAACTGAGGCAGTCCTTCTCTGTCTTCATTGCCAAGCAATAATAATGCACATGCCTTTTGTAGAAAACCCTTCTGTGTCAGTAGTCCTGAACTTGTATCCACTAAGCCATGCAATGAATTTGTCTCATTCTTTGCCAACAAAATTCAGAAAATAAGACAAGCTCACAGTAACTCCATACATGTATCAGGAATAGGGTCTGTCTTGTCCTTGCATCCACTGAAAACCAAATCAGTAAGCACAATGCAATTTGATCCTATTGGCTATAAAAACTTTAAAAATTGGCAACATCTAAAATCCTTCTACTGTCTTGATATTCTACCTACAGTCTTTATCAAAAATGTTTTTAACTGTCTAGTACCAGATATTGTGCAAACAGTCTTCTACACTCAGGCTTTTTCCTATATGCCCTGAACAAAGTCCTGCCCTGCAGTTAAGCCACCCTCAGGAAAGAATAATCTAGACATCTCACACTTTTGTGAGGCCTGGGCCTGTATTACTAAAATATATTATGTAGTAAAATGTATCACCAGAGTGAATGAAAAACTGTGTTATATGTTCTGTAACGATGCCAAACTAGTTTGATTTCTATTTTAAGATACTGGTAAGTATATCTCTAAAAATACAAAAAATATGTGATTTGGAGTTCCCCAGGGCTCTGTTCTGGGGCATCTCCTGTTCAACAGCTGCATGCTCCAAAAATGTTAACCATCATGGTGCAGATGACTCTGATCCCACACAAGCATTGAGTATGTGCCTTTGGATCCAAAGAACAATGATTAAAAGTCAGTAGCTGCTACCCTCTAATCACTAATCTTAGTGTAGTCAAAATCAGCCTTAAGAATGTATCAAGTATTAAATGACTTCTGTCTCAGAAGAATTTAGAAAAAAATGCCCACATGTTTATCATGAGTAGGTTTGACCACTGTAAAGCTGTCTTTACAGGTCCCTCTAAATAGCCAATCAGACAGCTGCAGCCATTTCAGGACACTGCTGCTAGAGTCCTCACTAAGACCAGAAGAGTAGATCAGATCACAGTTTCTCAGATCTTTACACTGGCTTCCTGTGTTTCAAATTATTTCTTTTATTATAGTGCTGTTGAGTTTTAGAACACAGAATGGTCAATGACCAAAATACTTTTGTAATCCACTGTTGCTATTTATTATTAAGTGCTGTACTGTGATTTTTATTCTGCTGTTTGATTTGTCTTATTCTATGTTATCTTATTTTGATCTTGTTTTTTTACTCCTTTTAAAATCCTATTCATGTATGTCTTTTTATATTGTCTTGCTTTGCTTTTATATCTTTTCTTCATTTCTTTCTGTCTTATATATGGCACTTTAAATAGCTTGTACAAATGAAGTTGCTATGCCTTTGCTATAGTTGTTACCGACAGATGGGACTTTCCGTCACTCACGGGAAGATGTGTGAGGCTTTAAAGATTAAGTCATCTGCATTTCTTCTATTCTCACTTCCTCTCAAATATATTTAGCCTGATTTCTGTCTTATCTTATTAAATCAGCAATCAGTATTATCTATGTGGGTAATTTTATATTTCTAAGTGCAGTGAAAAATTTCAGAAACGTTTTCCTCTCCAACTATAAAAAACAGCCGCTTAACTACTTTTTTTGTAAAACCAAAAACAGAAACTAATCTAACAAATACTGTATGTTCACTGTGGTCAAAGAGAGCTCATTATGAATGGCAATGTGCTGTAAAATAAGGAATTTATGTGGTGTATTACAACAGAATATCAACTTGCCAGCCACAGTAACTCATAACACTACTTATGACAGTCTTGCATGCTTGTAACCTTGCCTCTGCCCTTTGGCTCCTGTCTTGAATGTTGCTATAGTGTCATCTGCAGGGATGAGGCAACTTTCAAAAGCAAGCATTTCACTCTAAACATTCAAGTTACACATGCAGGTGCAGACACTCACAGCAGAAATGACTACAAATCACACAGGAAACACAAAGGTACCGTTACAGAGGAAACAAGAAGGGGAACTTTGTAAGAGAAATACTCGATGCAAATTGATTTATTTTTTTTATTTTGCTCACTGAACAGATGTTAAAAAGGGTGTATTTTTGTCTGACCTTCATGTGTGTGAGTTGTGCTAGAACATTTTCCACTACATGTGGTGTCTGCTGTAGTGTCAAAAGGCCTTGTATTACTGGTACATGACATCAAAGATGGACTATAATTAAAGTCGCCTTTGAGCACATGTGGCTTGGATGAAAATAAGTAGATGACACTGAAGAAGACAGATGTATACATGTTTATTCCATTTATATCACCTTAAGTCTTCTGTGGGGTGAGTGGCTGAGAAGGAAGACAAAATTATTATAAAGTATGCAAGAGATAAAATGACTCATCAGCTTCCAAACAGTGAGACCGGTCACAGGCCCAGAGAAAACTGTGCAAACTGCAGCTTTACCACTTGTGTCAAAATCATGCAATTTCTAACTTTGGTGTCAGGCAGATTGTGGGGTGTATTCAGGGTGCTGTTATGAGATTTTGTAGATGTTAGTTTTACTTACAGAACTGCAGCCAAAATGGCTAATTAACTGAAATAAAATAGTTCATGATCAGTGAGTTAGAACTATTTTACTGCAAGTGAGCTGCTCTGTGAGCATTTAGCATGCCTGCATACTTTTTGTAGACTGCCACCCCACAGATGTCTGCGTGACCAGCTATACAGCATCATACAGAACACCAAAACCACTTCCTTTTCTTATTATAGTCCAAATGGAGAAGTAAGAGCAAGACAGCCAGATGAGTGTGCCATTGATTTGGATTACTGTCATTTGACATTGTCAGTCGTTCTTTCACACATCTCACCTTACTGGTAGCACACTGCATACATATTAATTTATACAAAACCTTATTCCTTTGGAACTATATCAAGATCACCAACAATGTAAGTGACAGATTGCATTAATAGATACTTTAATTTTGAATTCTGTGAAAAAGAGGAACAAAGAATACTTATGTGAAGGTAATTTGTAAGATAGAGCTGGTGAGAACTTTCTAAAGATGGAATAGTATATTAATAGTTAGTGTTGTTTCGTGGTTTTTGTTAAATTCTGATGATAAAAATGTGATATTTTTGATATTTTTGACAACCTTAAAGAGAGTTTTGCACCTTATGTAATTTACAATGACCTGTTTTAGGATTTAACATTACTTTAGCATTTAGAGTCTTTCACAATCATGTATTCACAAATACATTCTCAAACAGTGCAAGAAATATGATACAACTAAAACACGTGAGTGATACATCTGAAAAGAATCACTCACTGCAGGGGAAACTGTAGAGAAATGTTTTATACAAAACAGGCACCTTAACCAATGCATTTCATCAAATCATGTTAAAAGATCATACCAATGTTTCAGATTATATATATATTATAGTACATTGTTGCAAACCATTTTCTGCTTCAGATTTGTCAGATATTAAGGAAATATATTATTTTTTAAGCGGTAATGACATGACCCTGCTTGACTTCGGTGGAGATAATGCGTCACACTGAACAGCATGTTCAGCTCAGTGTTAGTTTTGTTAACATTTCCTAGTCTGATGGCCAAAAACAATTTCTACTTGATTGGCCTTGATTTTCCAAAAACATAGCTTGTGACGCAAGAGAGTTCAGTAGCGAGTCAGATCTTCAGGCCACTATACTTTACTTAATCATACCTAATCAATGGCAATTAAGTGCTCACTGTGACTGATTAACTTTTAAATCTTTGCAAGATTATTTTCATAATGCCCATGGCTGTGTAGAGCAAAAAAAAAAACTCCATTCAAAAAATCTAAGAAATTATGTCATGCTTTGAACAAATGTAACAAGTGATCAAAAGTATATGTGATTTGCATAAAGTACTCAGATCAGTAGCAATACCACAGTGTAGACTTACTCTGTACAAGGAAAAGTCCAGCATTCAGAATTTTATGTACTAAGTAAAAGTATGAAGTATTAGCATCAAACTATACTGAAAGTACCAAAAGTAACATTACTCATTATGCAGAACGGCCTATTTCAAAATCATACATGTTATATTAATGAATTATAATTGTGGTACATTAATTGCTAAGCATCACTCAAATGCTACAGTTAGGAAAGTTGGGGTTAATTTTGAATTCACGATAAGTGCCTCAAAATTGTACATAAGTACAGTGATTGAGTGAACATATGTCATTACTTTCCACCATTACTGACTTGTAAGAACTGGGCTAAAACACCATTCTGGTTTGATAATGGCTGTCCCATAGATGATATAGTAAAGAGCTATTGTGTCTGGGCTTCTTTGTACTTTTCCTTACTGTGTTACATTTGTATTCCAAAACTCATTTTAAATTAAACTGTTGTCCCGTGTCTTCTCAGATACCAACATGAATGGTCTCCTCTTCCTGGCATACTGCATACACATCCTGGGTCCACTATTGTGTGGAGCTCAAGCTACCCTAACTCCTTTTGTTTTTTTGAGTACTCAGAATCCTGCCTCAGATACACAAGACAACATTTCAAAAGCAGACTCCACTGCTCCAGCTTCTCAAACACAATCCCTAACTGGCTCCACCAGTGTTGCCAGCCACATGCCTGAGGTTGCCACTACGCCAGCTGTAGCAGTCACTAAGAGTCATATCACTTCATCTTCACCTTCACCTACCCCACATCCCACCACCCCTTCCACCCCCACTCCAAGCTTCTTCATCTTTTACAGTAAGGAATGCCTTCCAGTGTTCATGGTGGCCGGCGGACTGATCTTACTATGTGTTATTCTGCTGATTTCTACTTTGGTGTTGATGTGCAAAATGTGTCAGTTGAAGAAACACATCAAGATGCTGAGCAGCAATGCTGACCAGATCAGCACCACCAACTATTGGGTGGGAACTGCCAAGAAGAACCAAAGCACGCCAGAGACAGAAGCCAAAGAGACCACCGTGTTAATGACGGACATCAGTCAAACAGTGGAGGAGGTGGGTAATGGCACCACCAAGGAAGATGGGGGGAAGGTAAACGAGGAAGGACAAACTGGAGAGGACAACAAGAAGGAGGCGGGAGACACTGCCAAGAGTGAGGAAGCTTCAACTACACCTGCAACCGTTGCTGAAGATGCATCCTCCTCAAAGCCACAAGAGGAGGCCACTGATTCCCAGCCGACTAAAGCTGAAGCAGCCTCCTCCTCCACAGGCACTGAGGAACCAAAGGATGCGGTGTAGAGCTGTGTGTGCATTGCAAAGAGTTTCCTGTGCACCTGCCTTTACTTCCCTATAGTTTTACAAACCCTTTACGGTAAATAAAAGATACTTTTTTTAGCAGCTTTTTTACTTAACAATGAGTTGAACGACTGCTTCTGCTGATAAATCTTTCAAACTGAGTACTTAGCATTTCTGGTTGAAACAATTGGTTGTCTGTTATTTGTGTTTTTTGAATACTGAAATATATTGATATTATAATACACTTTTGCTCAGGTCCATTTGTGGCTTACTGATTTTACTTTTTGAGATGTACATACATGTATACCACGCGTGACATATGCAACAACCAGATGAATAAAACACCTGTAACTTCAGTCTTGAATTTATTATTATGCAGCTCCTCTTTAGTTGTGGCTGTGTGTGTATGGGCAGGGGTTTTTGTGAGTGTGTGTGTGTGTGTGTGTGTGTGAGAGAGAGAGAGAGAGGGAGAGAGAGAGAGACAGAGAGAGGTCTGCTTGATTAGCAAACAGAGAATGTGCCTCCTCTGGGCAGTGCCACTCAACTCAGAAAGAACACTCTCTTTCACCTCAGCCAGAGCTGACAAAGCCAAACAAAAAAGCTTTTCAAAAACCCAATATGCGGTTGTTTCCGCCGTCTTGTGCAGATATTTGTTCATCTACTTACTTGTTACGTCATGATGGATGTGCTACCTTCATTAAAAGTCTGAATAGTTTGTCCCTTCTCAATGCAGCCCCCCTGCTTTAACTCCAGCTTCAGCTCTAATAGCATGAAGATGAAAACACTCTGGTAGCTCTGGGTGATGTGCAAGTTTAGAGGTGGGATGTGGTAAAAGCCAGTGAAAGTAAATGAAAAATATTTCCTGATTGCACATGAGGTACTGAAAGTGAATAAGGTAAAAGAGAAATCTGGATGATTTTCGTTTCTGTGCTGCTATGTGCCAAGATGGCTCAATCTGGCATGGCATGTTGTATACTGACTGACAGTAGAAGTGAGGGCTTGTTGTAAGGGGCAATGACAGGAAACTGTATCTTGGTGCAGGTAGCTATCAGGCAGGCAAGAGAGGAAAGTAGAAGAGAAGTGAGTGAGGAAGTAACAAACGCACTGCAAAAGAGGTACTTTGTTTAGTTTATGACACCTGAACAAAGACAAACGAATACAAAGAAACAATGACTGTCAGTTGCTGTGGTTACATAAATCATGAATCTACAGATGCAACATTATTTTTGTTTCATTTGTCACATTTAAAAGGAGCAGTGTGTAGGATTTAGTGACATTTAGCAGCGAGGATTGCAGACTGCAACCAGTTAAAACTTCTCCCATATACCAAGCATGAAGCAAGCAAGGACAGGATTCCTTCAGTGTCTCTTCCTCTCCAAAACAAATGGCCCAGGTGTATAAAACTGGTAAAAAAAATAAAAATAAATAAAAAATAAAAAATGAATGAATCAGTTACATGTTACAAATCTAATTACAGATGGGCTGCTAACCCTGCACCTGCTAATGTGTGCTCCCCTTTTTTCTCTGATAACCACAATGTATTAATATACAGAATGGAAAACTAGGTTGGACTTTCTGACAAAGTTCTAATTTGGTTTGAATCATATTTGAAGAACAGGAACAACTTTGTGTTGATTGGTAATTACATATTTGACCATACAAAAATGATGTGACAAGGAGTTCCTCAAGGCTCTGTTCTTGGGCCTCTTTTGCTTAAAAGGTTAAGTGTGTAAGATTTAGGGGGATTAGTGGCATCTAGTGGTGAGGACTGCAGATTCAGATTGCTGAAACTTCTCGCAGCTAGAATTCCTCCAATGTTTATTGCTCGGGGGGGGTTAGAGTCTAATTATTAGCAGAGGTCTCTTCCTCTCAGTAACAAATGGACCGGGCGTTTAAAACTGGTAAAAAACAATAAATAAAGCATCGTTGTTCCGCTCATCAGAGAGTGACTGGTAGCCCGGCACCTGCTAATGTGTGCTCGCCTTTTTTCTCTGATAAGTTAAGATTCAGATGTTGAGGAGGATTTCACCAGGAGCTGAATTATCTACAGAGGTCTCTTCCTCTCAAAAACAAATGGACTAGTTGATTTAAGCCAGTAAAAACACTGAATAAAACAGTTTCATGTTACAAGTCAGTGTTTCTCCAATGATGTTTGGCTTGTCAGAGATGGGCCACTAGCCCAGCACCTGCTGATATGTGCTCACCTTTTGTTCTCTGTTAATAGTAAAAACACTGAATAAAGCAGTTTCACGTAACAAAAACTAAAATCTGTGTTTTCCAATGCTGCTCATCACGGAGAGGCTGCTAGCTACAGCGACTGACACGAAAACGTGAATGGCCAGATTGAGAGCTAGTGTTTGGTTTGCTTGTTCTGGGCTACTGTAGAAACATGGTGGTGCAACATGGCGGACTCCATCGATGAGGACCTGCTCCCTATTTGAAGGTGATTATACACCACAGAAATATACTAATTAGAGTATATTCAATTTCTGCCAAAGTATCCCCCTAAATCCTACATGCTGGACCTTTAAACCCTGATCGCCGTCTATAACACTGTAGAACTGTCCCCTTGAATCGAAGGTAATGATGTGTGGTGGAAATACAGCAATGCAGTGCAGAATGGAGCATTGCCTGGATTGCTGATGACAGGTGGGAAGCTGCAGTGGACTGGAGTCCCCTGCAATAAATCTTGAAGGGTTTTTGTGGCAGTGTCTAAATTTACACAGGGAAAATAATAACCAATTACAGCACACTGTTACTTTGTAAAGGGATGCTTTAGAGTGGGATAATAATGATTTAGGTGATAACTGATAACAGTCTAATTTATTTCGAGTACAAACAGGAGTCAAATCAGTCAATTAATCTAACCACAACAATAGTTGTCGCTTTAAATGCAGAGGTAAATCCTGAAAGCTGCCAGATAAGGGACTGAGGAGTTTTCTTTGTAGCAGCCTTGTATGCGGGGACCTTTCCGTTATGCGCTCCATTTCTCCTCCTTACCCCCCCTTCCTAATACTTCCCCCACCACCAACACCCCACCCCTCCCCGCTCACTTCCACTGCACAGAGTAAATCCAGAGTCTGCAGTGCCTGATCTCGCATACTCAAAGATCCATACAGGCAATATCAAACTCTCAGCTCTTCAGAGAGAACAAAAAGGACCAAAGCTGCGAGGCAGTGAGGGCAACCTCCAAAAAAACTGCACTGGACAAGTGAGCAAGGGTCAAATTCTGTGAGGGGAATTCAGGCAGAGGGAAAAAAAATCACCTTTAGCAGAACAGCAGCTTGTCCCGGGCTTGAAAGCAGGAGAGGGAAGAAGGGGCTGGACGGCAGAAAGGAGCAGAGAAAAGTGACTGGAATGATAAGATGAGAAGGTGAGTTATGGACACATTTATAGACTCCTTTTACACACACATTCTGCCACACCCTGGCTAACACACAGTGTACTGCAGTTTCAGCAGTGTGTAGCTCCTCGCTGTGTCTTTGCCTGCCTTTGCACCAGCTGATGCATGAGTTCTCTGTGGAGTCATTAATACAACCCATCTATTGAGCTAGTTCTCCTCCTCTGAGAGCATGGGACTGACTGCTCTGACAACCACTGATGACTGAACACGCAAACTGATGCCAGAGAAAATGACTACAGGGATTTCTCATCCTTTGTGATGAATGGTGTTCTTGAATAGACTAGAAATAGCCTCTTGCAGATCAGGTTGAATGTTTATTAGTTATAAAAAAGGATGCATTTCAACCTGTTACTGATAATGCATTTATGCAGTATAAGCATTTCTCAAGAGGTTACAGCATCCCTATAAACATCCCTGCATGGTTAGGGGAGTCAGTTTGGCATGTGATGTGAATGTGAGTATCTGCAAGCAATGCAGTGATGTGCAGCAAACACTGAGCAGCCTGTGTGTGTGTGTGTGTGTGTGTGTATTCAGTATGCATGTGCCTAAGAGGTGTGTGTGTGTGAGAGAAAGAAAGGGATTCTGGCAGGGGGTGGAGCTTTAAAGAAACCACAAAACAAGTTTTATTCAGCACAGCCCTCTGCAGTTATACTTCTCCTACAGATTGCAAATGTACAGTGTGCTCCCTGTATAATCCAAACACTCTGCAGGCATCACTTCCTCCTGGAGGTATAGAGGATGCTGTGTAAGACAAACTCTAACATTCTCCTGTCCCGTCACCCCATCTTTCTTTTAGCTGGCATGTGCTGCTGAAGCTCTCCCCTAATGAGGCCCTTCTGGAACTCCTGCTCGTGTTGTTGCTGGGGTTGCACGTCCTAGCCGTGTGCCCCTCCATGTGCTCGTGCAGCCGTAGCCACAGAGAGGTCGACTGCTCCTGGAGGGGACTGAGACAGCTGCCCGATGGTCTGCAGCACAACTTGCGCTCCCTTAACTTGTCCCACAACCGATTTCACAACCTGGACGGGCGGCTCACCGCGTACACCCATCTCCGCTTCCTCGATTTGTCTCACAACCGCCTGAGCCACCTGCCCACCGGCTTGCCTCGTTCCCTCTGGCAGCTTTACGCCGCCTCCAACCGCCTCCAGCTGCTGGACAAGAACGATACAGTCCACCAGTGGAATCTGCGACTGCTTGACCTCTCCAACAACAAGCTGGAGCGGGCCATCTTCATCAACAATACGCTGATCAATCTGTGCACGCTCAACTTAAGCAACAATCACTTCTGGACATTGCCTACTAACATGCCTGTGCACCTGGAGCATATAGACCTGTCCCACAACCTGCTTGTGAAGGTGCTGCCGGGCTCTCTGGACCGGCTTGTCAGACTCACTCACTTCTATCTGCATGCTAACCGCTTTCCTATGCTGCCCTTTGGAGTGTTTGACAAGCTGATATCACTTAGAGTTATCACTCTAGGTGACAACCCATGGGACTGTCACCTTTACGACGACATCACCTACTTACTCTCCTGGAGTCAGCGTACCCCTGCCCGTGTCCTGGGCTGCCCTTGCCACACCCAGCCTGTCTGTGGAGGGGTGCGCCCTGGCAGGACTGGAGGGTGGCACTTTGCCTCCTACAACCTGCCCCCCTTAGCAGCGAGTGCCCAGGACCTGAGCTCCATGCCCCCTGAGGCCAGTGTCACTGGGTGGTGGTACCTGTCTGTTTCTGCTCTGCAAAGCACTGTGCACACCCCCATAGAGACCTCCAACACACAGCACCACCTCTTCACAGTCACACCCATTGGCATCTCCACCCAGCGACCCAGAAGCACAGGCACACACCTAACTATTAATCACTTCTCTGGAACTGCTAGCCCAGCTGGCGCAGAGCACATGCTCCATACTGATTCCCATCTCATCTCTGGCACAAAGGAAGACTCACCCACTGGCTCACTCCACACCACTGACACATCCTCTTTTTCTGACGCAAGCTTCATTACCGAAACACCCATTGGGGCTGACATGACCCTGGCCACAGACCGATTCTTTACAACAGAGAGCCCCTCCATCCAAACAAAGAAGACAACCACTCTTCGCACCAGGAGTGTGAGGAGGAAGAATCAGTCCCTTCCTAGTGGCATCAGCAACATCAGTCCGACTCTTGCTACCTGCTCCTTTCTGCCTTTCCTACACAACCTGGTGCTACTGTCTCTCATTCTGCAACAAGTCCTATGAAAGACATGTGAAAAACACTGACCCTGTTTTTAGTGTTCAAGGGATAGCTTTAATCTTTTGAAGTGGTGTTGTGTGAGGTACTTATCCATAGTCAGTGTATTACATACAGCAAAGCGAAGCAATGTACTGCTGTTGATGGGGCTGCAGCAAAATCTATTTATGCCACCTAAAAAAAATCAGCATCAGTGTACACTATTATAGAATATCTTAATAGCTTTACCTTGCTGTCAGACAGAGATTTCCGACAGGGAAATGAAGTTGTTGTATCGTTCTCTGGAAAGCCAGATTCCATCGATAAAAACAGTAATTCAACATCTCTGAACACTGGAGCTGCTGGTCTACCCTTGCCAAAGTCACACAATGACACAAACAAACTAATTGATCAAGGCAGCGGTAGACCAGCAGCTACCATGCTCAGCAAGCTACAAATACTGTTTTTCTCAATGGACTTATCAAGAGCGTAGATAGGGAAGTGAAGTTGTACACGGTAAAGATAAAGAGGTGAAAATACTCTCCATATAGTATACACTTAAAATGATATTGGGGGACTTCTTTTAAGTGGCTATAATATGTTTTGTTGCTGACCCTGTCCACAGCAGTACATTGCTTAGCTTTTGTGGCAGTGCTCCTGCCTGCTTCTCCAAACTGGGTATAAGTCGACCACCAGCTAATGTAATACTCTTACTATGGATAAGCACCTCATACAACCCCACTTCAAAAGATCTGAACTATCCCTTTAAATCTTCAAATGAATTTACAGCACAAACAAATACAGCACACAAGACTATTGACTGTTGTAGTACTGTCATGTTTGTATATCACCAGCTTTCTCAGCAAAAGGCCATTTACAATACAAAGACATTATAGAGTATGGTAGGATCCTACTTTTATAATAATTGGGCAGAAAACAACAACAATAAATTACCTTTTTTAACAACACTTTTTACAAGCCTTCACTCAAATGAAGACACATTGTAATGAATATAGCTAAGCACATGATGGCACTATACATTCAGGTACCAGTTTATTATGTAACTGAATGTGGCCTGTACTCATCTGGAACTACAGTCTACCCAATTCAGTGCTGTGGAGTACACATATGACCTAAAATGATTTAGTATCTTTTATTTTTCCCATGTTTGTACAACTATTGGCTGACGTTGCCTTGGCCATATTGTGGTCATATCTTTTTATTTCATTTGATTGCACTGGCTTTTAAAAAGATATGACACTCAAAGTTGCCATTTACTTATTTTGACCTTTTTGAATAGATGTCCCTGATACCTGCCTGCTTTTTTTTCATGTAACAAACCATATCACTCGCTAGAGGAGCAATTTTTCTGAGCACAGTGTAAAAAACTGGTACATGTGTACATAACATGTGCATAACAGGGAACAGCAAAGACTCTGTGGAGTGGAGGGAAAACAAACGGACAATGTTGCATCACTATCTTTAACAAACCCTGAGTGCCGAGTACTGCTTCTGTATTTTGATCACATCTCAAACTTAAGTGTCCTTCATGATTCAGTGACGCTCGTGAAAATGATCTGCATGGTGATTGAACGTTCCAGGAATGCTAACCTACTGCTATATTGCCACAGAGCACAGACATTCTCAGCTTATTTATATGAAATGTTAAGATATTCCAATCTCGATTGCATCAAGCATAGATAACCATGGTAGGAGTGCCATCCTTTGGGTTTTTACATTTTAGAAATACATTTGCATATGGTACTAAAAGGTGCCAAAATAGTAGGAAATGCATCACAGCAAGCTGCATTTGATAAACTTAAGAAAATACAGTGGCAGGGAATCACATCTCCAGGTGATTTCTGTAAAGATGAATAAAACTGCTGAGATATTTACACCTTTTGATGAGTGTTTGAATTTTGCCTCAACCGTTTTTTACACCACTTTTTTCTTCATTCCAAACTGCTTGACTGATGTTTTTAATTTCAAGCTGTTTTCACTGATAGCGTCTCATGGGAGAGGGCAGACACTATTCAACAACTACATTTCCCATGGGTCTTTAACATAGGTGTCAACCCTCATGGGGACTGAAGTTGTTCAGTGCTAAAAAAAATAAACAAGATTATTAAGAAAAAAAAACAAAACTCATTAAACAGTGACTTATTCAGATTTAATTAGCAAGCACAGATTTGTATGTAAGTTTATTCATTGAGGGAAGGTTCACTGAGCACAAAAGCACTTATATTCCAGACAGACCTTGCTTCACAGTAAGTCACACCTGGAAACTACCCAGAGCAAACACAGTCTTATCTGTAGGTCATTGAGCAATCGTTCAGAAACGTCATGTCTCAGTCTGGTTTTTAAAAGATCAGTGGAAAAAAATGTGCAGAATACATTGTGGAGCAGAGATGAGCCTATCTCTGTTTGATTTTATTGATGTCATAAAGAGAACTGAGAAAATTTCACATGCAGGAACATCTGTGAGAGCAAAACCAGCTCCTCCTCCTGACACTGTGTGGCACAGGGAGGTGCCAGCCTTGTGAGCAGGTGACCCTGTGGTTCAGAGCAACATGGAGTCACTGTCACCACGCACACCCACGTCTGTAATGCCAGTTGGGCTTTGTACCACACCTGAATAGCTACCTGAAAAAAATGGATGAATGGACATTTAAATGAAAATACATTCCCTTGTACAACAATTCTTACTGACACAGAATAATACAGCACAACTGTATAAATTGACATAATTCTTAAGACTTACTGAATAAACACAATATAATAGGAGTCAGATAGAGTGAGAAAAAATAACACGATCATTTTATCTGCACATCTGCCTTCCTTCTGAAACTCAAACACCTGCTGAATAGATCTGGTGTATTTATAGCTCAGAAACAGAAGCCAAAGCAGAAAGGAACTTGTGGTTGGTGTGCGGTGTATTTAGAAGCACGTTTCAAGGCTGCTCAAAGAAAGTTTCATTTCTACCCTCAGTTTCTCCTTTAGCTTGCATCTTAAATGAGTTTAATCCAACAAGTCTGCCAAATAAATACATTTACGTCAATATAAAGCACTATTAACCAGCCAACTAGCAGGTTTTTCCACTGGAGACCTAGTTTATGGGACATAAGGCTGAAGTGCAGCTGGGATTCTGGATTCATTTTGCATCATTTGTGTTTTAATGAGATCGTTTTATGATTCCTGTTTGTTCACAAACAGATATTTGTTGGAAAGGAAAGGCAGAGAATTACTTAAAAGTCATTCTGGTTTATGTTGTTTTTAATTGTCAAGCTGAGAACGAGAAACATAACTACCAACTTATCACTTGTTTTTGGTTCAGTTGCCATATTGCGGCTTTCATACATAATCCCTAACAAATACATGATCTGTTTTTTAGCACTATGCCTCCCTTTTAGCTGCACAACTTTAGAACATCTCTTCAAAGTATTGTAGGTGCCAGTGAGAGCTGGCCTGCTAGCCAATTATTTTCTCTGTAGACAACACAAAATAATGTCAGATTTCTCTTCTGGCTTCTCCTAATAACTGACAAGGTGTAGAAGGCTAGCATCATTTACTGCTGCCATGCCTCCCCTCTTCATCTCTCCACCCGGGCTCGTTTTGAGTGAGCTGCCTTCTTTCTTTCAGCCACACTCAATAAGACTCACCCTCAGTGTGCTTCTTTGTACCCGGCAACCCCTCTGCCCTCTTGTGATCTCATACATTTAAGCCCCCCCATCAGCTATATATATATTACTGTGTTCAGACAATGGCGTATAGACAGGCTTCAGGAACATATGTTGTATTACAGTCTTATTACAGGCAATCTATTTGAGTGTGTTAAGAGGTTTTTTTGTTGAGTTTTTTTTTTCTTTATACATCTTTGTTCGCTTGTGCTTTGCTGAAAAACTCCCCTTTTTTCAGTTTTAGAAAAGCACTGCTTACAAAGCTGGCTCAAAGCTGGAAATAAACGTTTTTTTCTCAGACTATACACAGAAATAACAGGGAGTCCAGAAAACAGCCAAGCATTTAAGCTGCCCCCCTTACAGCAGCCTTTCCCTTCAGTGTGAGAGGCTATGAGGCCACTGTAGGTAGTGAGCCTGGGTGTTATTCAAGCCTCACCACTCCTAAAACGAACACAAGAGACGTGTCACTTCGAACCACCTCCATGAACACACACGCAGACAAAGACACACTAATGACATCAGCTCCTGTTATGATTCCATGTGCTCTAAGTGCCCTCTTGTGGTCGTGAGACAGAAATGTATGTTTATACCAAAACATTACAGGCAGAGACAATGCTTGGAGAGACTGTGTCCTTCAGCAGGACACACGTTGCCCCTGACAGAGACTATTCTCCAGGATCCTAAAAAAAAAATCTCACTATTGTTTTGAAGGCACATAAGTGTTTTCTGCTCTGCAGTGACAGGACTTGATAATTCAACACTCCAAATATGCAACTAATGTTCAGATTTTAAATACAAATGCATCTAAAAATTGTAGACCATCATGAAAGACCAGAGCTCACACACATGCTGATGCACAGTGACATGCCCTGAAAAGGCCACTGCAGCATGCTCATGGCTAAAACAATGTCTGCCAATTTCGACCTCCTTAGAGCCTGCGTCACAATATCAATCGTGGCCCCAGAATTAGGCTGGTACCCAACCAAAGGACGCAGATAAAGTTTATCTGATAAACCTAATCTGTATTGACAGCTAGGGTCTATATGCCGAGACTCACCGTCTCTTTGAGCCAAGAGCGATGTTTTCCAGTCTGGGGCACTGATCAGCTGAAAAGCCAAACGTGTAGGAATCTGGAAGAAATAACAAGGCGTACTCCAGCAGCCGGAAGACTGATGAGACAGGCAAAAATATTCAAACCCTGCAGCATAGCAGTGGGGGGATATGGTATCTCCCGCTCTCGTCTCAATGGCACAGACAAGGCAAGGTCAGTGTTAAGGTCAGTGGTTGCAGAATAGGAAGTGGTTGGCAACTGAGAGAATATATAGTGGCAGCCAGTTAGGGGGAAAAAAATAAAGTAAAAATGAAAGGAGAGAGAAAAGGCCTGGTAGAAAGCAAAGAATGGGCCAGAAGACAGAAAGCACCACTTAACCGGTGTGTCCAGAGAGGCCTGCTTACTGTACCATTCTTAGCCTCTGGAAGATTTAAAAGAAATGTCTGGGGCATAGCATATGCGCTCGCAAAAGTGAATAAAACTGTACTGTATAAAATCCATACATTATTGTGTATCAGTTTGTCCGTGTAGCAACACAAATGCAGCTGTGCGCGTGCATGTGTCTTAACACCGCTATAAAGAGGAAATCTTGAGCGTGTACTGTGAATTTACATGATAAACCAGAGAGCATTGTGCACAGCTGTCCTGAGGAGGATTTCAATGAAATGAGCTTTAATGCACTTTGACAGAGAATGGGGAAAAAAAAAGATCTGGGAGCTCACTTTAGAAATAATGTTGACTTTAAAATGTTGAACCAATGCATAAAGATTGATATAACTCACATGACTGGGTCTCTGTTTAGGGAGGGGTGTACCACTTCCTCCGTCTTGACAAAGCTCTCCAAAAGGCCAGCGTGCACATCTTTCTCCCCGCTGCTGACTGTACAGGTGATAGGATGGCTCCTCGTGGTGCTTTAATGCCACTCGTCATCATCTGTAACACACAGCTCTCTCTGGTGTCGCACAGAACAGCCGCCAGAACATTCCAGGGAGCAGCAGGGGCATGAGCTTATCTCCCAGCCCAGTGGAGCAGGTAAATGATGTCGTCATCATCCACTTGTGTTGGGACCTGATTGGTCTAAA